ATATGTTTGGTCATCTTTCTATACCATGTATACATTTGCGCACACATTCGCCATCGCACGCTTCTCACTCCTTGTAAAACCTGCGCGCTCTTTTTTGCTTTCCTCGCGGCTTCACATCGCACTCGCACCACCCAGGCGAAGCAGGACACTAGTGGGCTACTTTATTCATTCTTCCTTGAAATTGATATGTGAGCTCATCGCTCTCTAAGCACCATTGCGCGCATTAACCAATCGTTTGCTTTTTTATAATCAGTTTTCAGAAGACACTATGTTTTCAGATGGCACATTAAAAGGACGATGGACCCCATGTATTTTGTGGTGAACGTCTTTGGATTTACCTTAAGGGTTTATGGCGGATCCTTAGCTGGATATCTTCCGTCTATCTTATACACTCACCGCTCACGCTCTCAAACTACTCTCTATTATACTCTACGAAATTATGTGTGAAAACACACAACCTTAGATATTTAGTATAGGGCTCTATATAATCTCTTACTTAGATTAACTCAATACTTTTATCTTGTGCGTTGGTGGTTGGTCATTCTCAATCTCGGCAGAATTTTAAGAGAGAGAGAGAGAGAGAGAAAGAGAGAGAGAGAGAGAGAAGAAAAAGAGAATACAATCATAGCATCATTTTTTATTTAAACAAGAAATTATGTTCAAAAGAAAATGAATTATTCTATATATACAAAAATAATAAGAATTGATTATTTATAATTTTGCCACAAATGTTGAGCTATTTGATTGTGAAAACTATTCATTCGACGAAGTTGGCTCGAATCGATATTAACAATTTCACGTGCTTCAATTGCTTGGTCATCTTCTATCACCATGTTATCATTTGCAAATTCCACAAATAGAGTATCTATATTGTATGGCATTTTTATGTAATTATGAATGACACAACAAGCAAGGACAATGTATTTTTATTCCTTGAAATGATATGGAGCCATATCTCTAAGAATGGGAAAACGTGCTTTTAATAGTCAGAAACAATGTTCAGTGACATTACACAGAGACGAATGTATGTAATTGAATAATTATTTTGGACCTTGTGGATTTCGTCTATCTCTATAATCACGTAAGTGATAACATTCTCCACAATATGGTGAAAAAAAAACCAAGTATATCCATAATCTAATAAATAATATTTATCTCGTGGTGGTATAAGAAATTTATCTTCTGGCTTAGTAATGGTTTCCAAGAAAACTCTTGCACCATTCATAGTTCCTTTTCAGCCGGTCATGACAAAAGTAAAATGCATATTAAATGAGTAAGTATACATAATATTTTGAGTTGGCTCAACTTTTTTACCATGGTATGAAATTTGCTTATCTGTTGGAACATGAGCAGTAATATGCGTACCACCAATTGCTCCCACGCAATCCTGAATTAAAAAAAATACCAACATTGATAAGAAAACAAAAGTATAGATATGCTTCTTAATAAATAAAAAGACCTTTGAAGAGATTGCCTTAAAAAATGGATAATATCATCTACTGTATTTTATCTCTAGAGGAGAATCTTCAAATGATGGAGGAACAATTAGACGTTTTATAGGAGAACATATAGCATATAAGATTTTTTAAAAATATTTGGATGTTGTTTGTCTGGAGTGTTGAAATCTACCTATCACAAATTGATGTCGTGCATTTTGACCAATAATAGAAGAAATATAGCTAGTTGTTCTTGAACTGAAAGATATTTAAAATCTTTGAATTTTTCTCTTCCTTTTAACTTCTTTCATAAATTGATAAAAATATGTTGGTCCATTCGAAATAACTCAAAACATGTTTCGAATGACCATTTAATACTTCTATAACATATTCATAACCTATTAATACTGATATTTTTTGTGGTCGAGGTTTCTTTTGACACAAGTGATTGTACTCGTAATTTAAATAAATAATTAGCAATTGCTCTTCCTTTTCGTCGAATCTAAAAGAAATTCCTCTAAATCTATTAGTACGTTTGTTCACTTAAATTAGAGAAAATCATTAATAAGCACTCGTTATATTTCATTCATAAGCAACTCTAAAAAAATCAAAATAGTGAAAATGATTCAAATTAATACTTGAATTAACTTTTGCCATACATCATCAGTAGCACTTATTTACCTTGTTAATGAATTGTATCCAATTCCTGTTTCTTTAAGAAGTTTACTGAAATTCTTCCATCGGATTCTAAAAGCATTGAATTTAATTTATAATTAGACATAAGTATATTGCTTTCCAGTTTTTTCAATCAATCATTCCAAAATTGTTTTCCAACCTTTCTTAGTAAAAGTAGTTGTTTTTCTATTTCCCTTTTTCACTTCCTCCTCCATTAATGATATAAATTAATATCAATATTACTACTAATAAAATATTTAAAATTAATAAAAGATTTTGAAATACTAAAGTCCAAAAATCTCTTATATTACTACATGTTTTATCTCCATAAGTGGCTGAACACAAGACATATCAAATCATTGTGTCTCCATACACACACACACACAGGTCCAAAGTATAATTTCAATTATCAAACATCACATGAATCTCTTTATAGATAACTTTAGCTAGTCACATAACCAAAGAAAAGACATTCTCTCAATCAGCAAACATACAAAACATATATTTACTAGATACACTTTAACAATTGCTAAACACACATCTATATACAGATATAAAAGCAAAATTCGGAGCAATGAATGTAGAGATTTCAGTAAAAGATAATAAAAAAATCTTCAAATATGGAGTATCACAGGAACATGATAAAAGAATATGAACTCAATCAAGTTCCATCCAAAGTGAAAGAATTGAAAAAAAAAAAAAATCAACTAAATAATGATAGCCCGTGCAATGAATAATAATAATAATAAAATTAAAATATCTTACAAATATCTACAATTGTACCTTACAGTTATAAAACTCTGAGAAAACAGTTAGATTTTATGAAGGGAATATGGGAGAGTCAAATATGGAGTTTTATCCAATTTGATACAGATTTCAATCTGATACAAAGGTGTAGAAGAGAGAAGACGGAAGTGTATTTGTTTATAAAGACTTGTAGGAGAGAGTAAAGAGAACCTTATTAACAGGAAAAAATAAAATAAAATCGCGTAAACCATGATTTGTGGTTTCGTAAACCATATTTTCTGTTTTTTAAATGATTTTGAAAAAAGTTAAAAAATAAATTTAAACAATTTTAAAACATACATGTTTTTTTTACCAAAATTAATCGGAAAACTAGAAACCACAATAATACGAAACACTACCTTAGTGTTTATTGATTTTTAACATTATAAGTTACATATTACTCTTTGTTTTTGTGTTTCAATGCTTCTGATGTTTAGATGTACTTTACGGATCAAAACCAAGCCTTTCAAAGACTCAAAATATTAAAAAAGCTCCTAGAGTTTCAACTGGAAGTGCATGCAGTCAAAAGGATATTCCAATGTAGACAGACCCCAGCCCTTGTTCTACTTTCGTATGTTGCTAATCTAGCAGATGAAGTTGTAGAAGAAATTGAATATTCATACGAGGAGAGAAGAGCTGGATTTGATCTTCCTAGAAATAATATTAAGTCAATAAAAGTTTGACATGAATCAGTTTGTATATCCAAATGAGAATATTCATATATGCTAGATTTTGCTTATTAAATTCTGTTTCTTTTCTTTTTTAAATTTAATTTTTATAACCGTTTTGATTAAATTTAATCTATTAACTCCCTCTCTCTCCTCTTGAGAGAAGATTTTTACTTAATTTTATGTTTCTTTAGTATTTCTTTCTTCCATGATCTTTCTAATTAATCTCATTTATCTATTATTTTATTTTTTAAGGTATATATTTTCCTCAATTCATGTTTGTTGATTGAAATTTGGATCTACAAAAATGAATCAATTAATTATTATTAATTTCTAAGACTTTATCTAAAACACTTGATGATTTTTATTTTTGATTTTAATTAATGTACTAAATAATTATTGAAAGAGTATATAAAAATACCCAAACACAGACAACTAAAAATTTTTAAAAATTTAACTTTATTTTTATTGCACTTAATTGGGTATAATTTTTTAAATTAATTTATAATTGATAGATATGTAGATAATTATAATTTTGAAATGTTTGAAAATTTTAATTTTAAACTAATTTAAAATTAATAATTATAAAGATGCTTAAAACTTTCAAATTTTTTTATTTTTATTGTTCGTTTTAATATGAGGATGTAAATAAAAAATTTTCCACATAACAACAGAATGAAATAAAAATAAGTATTCAAATAATTTATAAATACTCATGCGCGAAGGACGGTATCACAAATAGTTATCTTATATTTCTAAAAGATTGATTATACTCGTGAAAGATATTTGAATGTTCCTGAAAATTAAAAAAATATATCTATTTCTTTAGATTTTAGATTATAAAAAAATAAAAAAAGCCAAGAAAATAAGGGAAAAAAAAAGGAGTTAAAGTGTAAAAGATTCAAAACACAAAAGAAGTAAAAACATGCAACAACAATAATTTTGCTGCCTTCTTTAAGATAGTTTACCCCCCCAAAAAAAAAATGCTGCCTTACAAAGTAAGAGTGGAAACTTATTATTTAGTTTCTATAATTTGATAAAATTTATTTAGTTTTTATTTTTAAAAATACGTTAATACATCCTTATAATTTAACCGTCTATATTCATTTAAATTTTATGCGGTTTATTAATCGTAAACTGATAAAAGATTACATCATTTTCTCAACTACTCTTCTTCTAATTTTATTTAATAAAAATTATTTTAATAATTATTGATTTATTTAAAACAATTATTTTTGACTTGTAGCATAAAGATAAAGGGTATTTTGATAGTAAAAATTAATAACAAAAATTTGGAAGGACAGTATAGAAATATATTTATGTACTTTTCAGAAATAGTGACTAAATAATTAATTTATGAAATTATAGGGATTAAATTAGTAATTTGATTTAAATAAGAATGACACAGTACCTAAACTGGACAAAAACCCAATAACCGGACAATACGAATTGTGGTCAATTTCCCAAATTCCAATCTGTTCTTGACGTACTTCCTTCACCAACTCACCTTCCTCTGGTCTGATACACTTTCATTCTCATTTCCTGTTAGATTTGCTTTCTTCTTTCTTTCTTTGATTTTTATGCATATTCTCTTTCCTCCTAACAACTAATACCAAGTGGCTGTGGAGACCAAGAAAAAGGATGGCTACGTTACCAACCGCAGTAGGCGGAGGAGCTTTGGAGAAAGAGGTGTGGAAGGCGCATGCTGCCATGGCTATGGTGCAGCTATTTAATGGAGGATATCACGTCATTACCAAACTGGCTCTTAATGTTGGGGTCAATCAGCTTGTTTTCTGTGTATTTCGTGATCTGCTTGCCCTCTGTATTCTCGCTCCCACGGCTTATATCCGTGAGAAGTAATTCAATTCTGTCTCCAAATTGTTTTTCGTGTCTATTTGTTTATCCTTTTCTATGCATGTTATGGGAATTCTGATTCTGACCGCTGCAATGGCAATTCCAGTTTAGCTCTTGAAAATTTTCATTGGGAATTGGGAATTGGGATTTTGGGATTCTGTTTTTGTTCTTGTTGTTGTTATAAAAAGTTTCTTCTTTTTTTTTATTTCTTTTTCTTTTTCTTTTTTGAGTATATGGGAACAAGTATATTGCATTTTAAAAACAGTTGAGCCACTTCATTTTGATCAATCTTATCCTTTCTTTAGTTCTCATTTGGACACAACAACTTCTTGAATTCTTTTATCTCCTTCTGCCTGATAATTTCGAATTGATGAATTGAAATGACGTACTATCTTAAGATATTTTCTACTTTCTTTTTGCAGAAGGATTCGGCCACCTATGAACAGACGCATACTCTTGTCACTCTTCTTTCTTGGCTTAACAGGGTATGTTTATCTAAATCCATCTTATGCATGATGTATATACTCTATGCTGATACAACTTCCCATTAATCAGTCTATTTGGTTTTGTTGTCTCATAGAATATTTGGGAACCAGCTGTTGTTTCTTATTGGCCTTAGTTATACAAATCCAACTTATGCTGCTGCTATACAGCCTTCAATTCCAGTGTTTACGTTCCTTCTGGCTGTGATGATGGGGTAAGTTCAAAACAGTCTCCTTATCTTTGTGTGTGTGCATGTGTCTGTGATTTTGTTGTTATGCTTAGTGCAAATATATGCTTGTATGTGTTTCGTATGAATGTTCTTTGTTCAGTTTACTACATGTACTTCTTCTTGCAGTACAGAAAGAGTGAATTTGTTTAAAACTGAAGGTCAAGCAAAGGTTGTAGGTACCCTCATCTGTGTTTCTGGCGCTGTATTGATGGTTCTATTCCGTGGTCCAACTATCTTTGGATTAAGTGAAGCAGACTTTGCAGGGAGCGAAATAAGTGCCAAGGGTCAACCAGAGCCCGCTGGATGGTTTTTGTCTAGCTTTATAAACATTGGACTGGAAAGTTGGCACCTCGGAGTTTTATGCTTAATAGGGAATTGCATGTGTATGGCTGTTTTTCTGGCCATTCAGGTAACTCTGAAATACTTATCCAATAGGATATAAGATTTGAAATGAGTGAAATTATAAGATTTTCAATTATAATGGATTACGTTTCATTTTCTAGACACCTCATGAATTTTACCTTAGTGTTTCAACTTTTAAGGGAAGCAACTTTATACCTGCATGATTTGTCTTTTCTTTTTCTGCTGCAACACCATGGAGAATGCAATTGCGCCCTATCTAGATTGCTGGTCTTTTCTTTGTTGTCTAAAGGGGCTTGGCCTGTATTATCAATTGGTTTCTCCTTCCTATATTTATCCATGATAAGTTGAACTTTGATATTAAGTAGGGTGCACGCGAAAATCTTTTGGTGGTTAGACATCCTTCTACTCTTTGATGTGTTTTGCTAGAAATAATACTTCTTTTGAGAGATAAAAAAAGTTTTGTTGGTCAATTGGCTAATTTCAATTATTTATGCTAGAGTTCCCAAAGGCTATGCAAGTAAACTTAAATATGCTAGAGTTGCCAAAGGCTATGCAAGTAAACTTAAATATGCTTCTCTATTTTTCTATAGTACTCCCAAAGGCTAGGCCATTGAACTTAAATTTACTTTATATTTTCTATAATTAAAGAATGAATTCCCGTAATACATAAAAATATTGTTTTTTGCTTTTGTAGTTGTGGTGATGAAGAAGCACAGCAATTGGTTTTTTTTACAAAAAGAATTCATAGAGAGGGCTAATTGAAAAAGAACCTGGGTAAACAGAATGTAAGGGAGTTTAATTGACAAACAACAACAAGAATAACAATAATAACTAAGCCTTAGTTGGGTTTGGTTATTTACTTTTAACTTTTGACCTAAAATATATTTTTTAACTTGTAAGACAATTTAAAAATAAGTAGTTAAATGTTTGGTGAAATTACTTAACAGCTATGTTGCACGGAAACTCCTAGCCATGGGTGTTTCCGTATGTCCATTTTCCTCTATAAATTAAAGTTTCCCCGTGTAGGATTATATTTTAAATGTCATTTCCCCCAATCGTTTTCATGTTTCCACGTTTCTTTGTTTCTGTGCAACATGTTACTTTTAAGTAGTTTAAATGTTTGGTTAATAGTTACTTAAAAGTAACTTGTTATAATTATCAAAAATGACATATTAATTAAATAGAAAGTTCAAAGGTTTGTTAAAAAAAATGATGGTAATGTTGGCATTTCCAGAACTTATTGGGATAATATAGTCTTTTACTTGGTCAAAGAGTATATTTAAAATAAAAATAGATAATTATGAGCAAGGGGTACCTTACTTATGACTTTTAACTTATTTTAAGTAGATTTTTTAACTTAAAAGTCAAATAAAACATTATTCCGTTTTTTCCTGTTTATTTAGAATAGTGGTTTGAAAGACAAAAGCCAAACTAACCAACTTCTGAATCTCTAGTTAATAGAGGTCAGCTACATGAATCCATATCTTCCATTCCATTTGGCTTTGCAGGATTTACTTAAGATAAAAGTACTAAAATCCCCCTAAGGTTAGGCATAATATAAACTAGTTTACATGTGCAATATTAGAAAGAAAGATATTATCATGCTTTATTTTTTGTGTCAACCAATGTGATTTATGCTTTCTAGATTTAGAAATTATCTTTGGGCCTCAGGCTTCTTTAGCATGGAAATGATAGGAGATAAGAAAGTGAGAAGCAGACCTACTAGGCCTTTTTATTTTATTTTATTTTATTTATTTATTTATTTATTTATTTATTTTTTTTTAGGCGATAAAGAAAGTGAAGAAAGCAGACCTACTAAGGCTTTTTATTTTATTTTATTTTATCTTATTTATTTATTTATTTATTTATTTTTTTGGGGGGGGGGGGGGCGGGTGGTTGTTGTTGAGGAAAAAATTAGCGGGCGGGTGGTGTTGTTGAGAAAAAAATTAGCGGCTCTAAATCATTCTGACTACATAATATAAAACTGAGTGGAATGAAGGAAACAGATCCACATAGCCAACCCTAACTGATTCAGAATTAAGGCTTACTGCTGATACCATTGTCTTTTATTCTTAGTTTTACTGTTTGATGTTTATGTGTTCAATTTGGCATTTGCATACTTGCAGGCTCCACTTTTAATAAAATATCCTGCCAGCCTTTCTGTCACGGCTTATTCATATGCTTTTGGAGCTCTATTAATGGTAGTGACATCATTCTTTTTGACCAATGAAACCACGGAGTGGAGTCTAACACAATCTGAGCTTTGGGCAGTCATTTATGCTGTAAGTTTCTTTCTGGTGTTGTATTGACCTTGACTTTCATGTGTGCTATGCATGTACAATTTATTTTCAGTTTTCTAACACTACTCTATGCAACTATAAATAATTGTACAGTCCTATTATCCTTCTGAGGTAAACTTTAATATCCTGGTTATTTTGACTTTTGAGGATAGTCTGAATGATGGTAGTTACCTTAGTAGGAAAGGATGTCTTCTTCCATCTGAAGAGATGGTGATGTTTCATCAGTATTATGATGTTTCAATTCCTATCTAAGGTGGAAATTTTAGTTTCTCTATTCATCCTTTAAGTATTCATTTCTGTGTTTTCTTTTTGTTGGTTACTTTATCCTAGCTGTGTATATATTCACACATTATCTTCTCAATATAATATTGTAATTATTCCTTGCAAGTGTTTTGAATGGAGAATCTTGGGTTTTAATGGTCTGAAATTTGAAATTCAGTGTTTTTATCATGTTATTAGTATTGCTTTTTTGGTGGTCGTATTTGGAGAGAGGGGAGGTTGTGAGGAAATAGGATCCTTTGCTATTCCAACAAGGAAAATAATCCTTTGTTTGACTTCAAAGGTGAACAATCTCAGCTCTTTACTTCTCTTTCTTCTCAAGATCTTCAATTACATCAGAATGTTGTCATCTTTTTATCAGGTGGAATTGAATCCTTAGTGTCTTCCATAGAAAAAAGTCATTTACAGTCCTTGTCATGGCTGTTAATAATGGCTAATATATGTGTGCTGCAGTTGAATAAGATCTCGTGAACATTCTTGAAAAGATGTAACAACACTCTGAAATAGCAGTGCAACAGTTCAAGTGGAATAGGGTTAGATCCTGTTTCCTGAAATTTAGGCATTATGGAGACTAAAAGAAATATGTTCAAGATATTCTTAAATCTTTCTAATGTGATATGCTATGAGTTTTTGACTATGGTAGTTGTAAAATCTATTTCGGTAGATGAAACAGATTACTAATTTATCTCAACACCCATCTTACCTCCATTCCACCTCTTTTTTGGATCCGAGAATCAATATCGGTTTCATTGAAGTGGAAAAATAAAAACAGAGATATGTTCACAATTGAGAGGGCCAAGGGACAAACAATTAGAACACATTGTAACCAAATCTATTACCTTATCTTGGATTTGTTATCTCAGCAGTTGCAAATTCAAAAATGTCTACAAGTGATTTAGCATTTATAGTGCCAAAGCTTTTATTCTATATGCTTTCTTTTTTAGTCTCCTGCTTTAGTGATTTAGGGAGTGAAGTGTGTGCATTTTTGGGACTTGTGAACAAAGCGGAAGCATCATTTTCCTTGATGGACGGAACTAATTTGCGGTGCTATCATACAGCTAAGAACAAGGTTTAACTTTTGTAGAATCCTTGACTTACCTTCAGATATTGGCCTAACAATTTTGGCGTGAGCATCTCTCCTTCATCAATAATGATTTATTTCCAGCCTTCTTCTTGGAAATTCTATGGGTTTTAGGCAACTTACAGATAATTCAATTGTATCAAAAAGTTGCCCTTCACTTTATGGCATATGATCATATAATAGAATAATAGAGTTATAAAATTGCTCTGAACCTCTTTCTGCAATTCTTTTGTGGGCTGCTCAAAATTGATTATATTTAGCACTAAATGTTTAATTTCTTTTCTTCTTTATGTCACTCACTTTTTCAGGGAACTGTTGCCTCTGCCCTTAATTATGGACTCCTGACCTGGTCCAATAAGATCTTGGGGCCTGCTTTGGTTGCACTTTACAATCCACTTCAACCTGCTGCTTCTGCCTTGCTGTCAAGAATTTTTCTTGGAAGCCCCATTTATTTGGGAAGGTTTGACTTAAGTTGCTTGAAAACTTGTCATACAAATTTGTGTTAACTCATACGTGTTACACGCATTACTATGCTTCCAAATTCTGTGCTTTGCCTAATTGGCTCATTAATGTTCTCATTTGTACTTTCTCATAAAATATGGTTTTGATCTTAAAAACAAATTTGAACAATCTCTGGATTTCTTCCATGGCACCTGAAGGTTGGTGTAAGATGGGCTTACTCTGTCTTTTCCACATGTGATAACAGCATCTTTGGGGGCTGCCTAATCATTGCTGGTCTTTATTTGGTGACTTGGGCTTCCTATAGGGAGAGACAGGCAATTGCTGGGCTAATTTCTTATGTTTCTGTCAGGAGCTCTGAACCACTCATTCACAGGGATGCAACAGCTAACAAGGGTGCGTACCCAAAGGGACAAATGTTATCTGGGCCTTCCTTGCCAAAATCTACAGATTAAGCAGGCAACCCAATTTAATGTTTGTTTAAAGTTTCATCTTATTGAAAATCACAATTTGTGATAAACACAAGTTCATGTATTATATCTCCCTAGTTCATTAAATATACATCTCCTTTTAAGAAATCGTATCAGCGTTTTATTATTTATTTATTATTTATTATTATTATTTGTTTAAGCTCTGATTTTGATGTCCTTCGACCTAACATTCAGTTTGAGAAATGAAGATGAAAAATATGAAGGAACTTGTTTTTTATGGCTTTATTTTTGTGCAGCTATGTAGGGGAGAGTTCTCTTGACCACTTGACTATAAAAGCAAATTTCTTGATTCGGCATCCTAACTCCACAGATAAACTGAGGGACACCCATGTATATGGTAAAATCCATCCGATTTCTGATGCTGTATGTGATGGGACTCTGCAAATTTTTAGAAGACTTGAATCAGGATAGGTAGGAAGCAATAAAAACAGTGAATGCTGCAAGTTATTGGCAGACTCGAGTCAGGACCATCAGGAAGCAAAATTAGTGAATCCTAAAGGAAAATTTTCTTCCTGTTTTTCTAATGTATTTAATCGCTTTTTTGTTCTGTATTTATGGTTTGATAGCAGTTATTTTTACTGGTTGCAAGGATGAGATTATTAACCTCGTGCTTTGAATTTCTGGGTGAGAATCTGAAATGGAGGGCATTTTCTTTCCCTGTTTTGCTTCAACTACTTTACAGCCAATGCTGTTGCCTTCTCTATTTTGAATTGACTTACAGTTCTATGCTACTGGACTCCATAAAAACGCAGTAGGAAAGAATTCCCATGTTTAATTATTTAGGTTCGATTGGTAAAATATTGAAGTATGGACATAGAGGAAATTCTTTCAGTTACTGATGAAGAGAACGAGAAATTGTTAATCATTTGTGCAAATCAAGAATACAAATCACTTTTGTCGGAAGAAACCCTAACCACAAAGAATTTCAGCATTAACCGGTCATCAGTGGGTTGTTGAGGTATTAAATTGTCATCTTCAGACATGCTTTGAATTTTCTATTTTCTATATTTGTATTTCTCCAAACGCGAAGATTTTAATTTTCATATTTGCATTTCTTATTCTTATATGAATTAGTATTAGAACCCACGCGATGCGCATAGCAATATTAAATAATAATAATTTTTTTATAATTTCGACACAAATACAATACGAAAATTAGACGGTCAACACGTACACGACACGTTTAACCCGCTTAATATCATAAACATGTGAAGTGGGTCGTGTTGATTCATATCAACTCGTATAACCCGCTTAATATCATAAATAGGTTAAGTGGATGTATTGACCTTTATACGATCCACTTAACTTGCTTATAGTATTTTAACTTTTAACCTATTTAACTCCAATCATATTTAAAAATAAATTTTTACACGTAAAATGGATAAATTCTTCAAGATTTATAATTAAAATAAAAAGTAATACAATAATAAAATTTAAATATGATTCAGTTGGAGTATTTATATTTAACACTAAAATTACCTTTTTACTCTTAAATAAACGGGTCACTTGCTTAACCAGCATATCAACCCTCGACACAACACGTTTATATTCATGTCATAAATGAGTGACTTGTTTATGACAATAACTCGTTTAACCCCAACCCTAACCCATTTATTTCGCGAGTTAGACAAATTGTGTTTGCGTGTCGTGACCCATTTTGACATTCATAGTATGGCCTGCATAAAAAAAATGCGCACAAACTATTAATGTATTTTCAATAGTGATAATAATTTTGAGAATTTAACTAATTATATTTAGATAATAAATTAAGTATTTTTTATTTTATTTTTATGATTTATTAGAAATGATTGTTTATTTATTTGAAATATTAATGTATTATACTTATTAATAATTAAGTATTTTTTAAATTAAGTATTTTTTATTTTATTTTTATGATTTATTAGAAATGATTGTTTATTTATTTGAAATATTAATGTATTATACTTATTTAGTGTAGTGTGTCCTAAACGTGTGGATTTTTTACTTTTTTAAAATTATTGTATTGCCTACGTTTCTGCATCACATGATGAAGTGTTTTTTTTTAATTTATTTTTTTATCTTTTTTATTAATGGATAACCAGAAAAAATAAGAAGGGACTGAATTTGTTTTCGGAAAAACTTTTGTTATTTTTTTTTTTGATATAAAAGAAAAATAAAATTAATTTTTCTCTATAAATTTATTTTATAGTTTTTTATTTTCATTCTAATTTGAAGAGAAAATTATCAGAATTATTTTCTCTTATATTCCTTTATTATTTTCAAATAAAATAGTTTTTACTTATTAATATTAATTTAGTTTTTTTCTCCTATATATTATCTGAAAATATAATTGCTTTTTTTTTTTCTTTATGATCCGTATGATGCGCAGGGTAATATTAAAAGATAAAATAGTATTTTATAATATCATTCAAGAATAGTAAAATTATATAATAAAATGATAAATTGTATCTTATTAAGATATGCTGAAAAGCTCCGATGCTAAGATATGTCTTTTTAAATATCATGCAAAGTTTTTCATAAGGTATGAAATAGTAAAAGTCATGCATGGTAACTATATAAAAAAAAAGTATACACACTATTAATATATTTTACAATAGTGATAATAATTTTGAGAATATAACTAATTATATTGAAACGAGAAATTAAGTATTTTTTTATTTATTTTATGTTTATAATTTATTATAAATGATTGTTTGTTTATTTGAAATATTAATGAATTACTTATTTAGTGTAGTGTGTCCTAAGCATATAGATGCCATACTTTTTAAAAGTTATTGTATCCATAGCTCCCGTATCTCGTGTCTCGTGTCCGTACAATCTAGCTCCCGGTATATGAGACTACTCCTTACACTAAGTTAATCAATCAATTTTTTTATTACGAATAAAAATAAAGTGTTTTTTTTAATTTGCTTTTGTGTTATTGAAATAAGAAATTAAGTATTTTTTTATTTTATGTTTATGATTTATTTTAATTTTAAGTTTATGATTTATTATAAATGATTGTTTATTTATTTGAAATATTAAGTATTACTTATTTATTGTACCTATTTCTAAGCGTGTGAATGTCCTATTCTTTTTTAACAATTGTCGTATCTGTTTTTTCCACCATCGCCCATCTAGCTCATATATATGAGGACTTTCTATACACCAAGCTAATCGCTAAGGTTTTTTTTTTACGAATAAAAAATGAAAGTGTTTTTTTATTTGTTTTTGTGTCCATTGAAATACAAAATTTAATTTTTTTAATTTTGTGGTTTTATTTATTATAATGATTGTTTATTTATTTAAAAATATTAATATATTACTTATTTAGTGTACTTATGTCTAAGCGTGTGATGTCTACAATTTCTAAATTACGTATCATTTCCTATGTTTTGTGCAATTTAACTCTTGATTTATATGAGACTAACTCCATACATAAACTAATCCAGTAGATTTTTTTTATTACAATAAATAAAGTATTTTTTTTTAATTTGCTTTTTGTGTCATTGAATAAGAAATTTAATGTTTTTTATTTTATGTTTATAGTCATTGAAATAAGAAATTTAATGTTTTTTTATTTTATGTTTATTATAAATGATTGTTTATTTATTTGAAATATTAATCTATTACTTATTTAGTGTAGTGTGTTTTAAGTAAGTAAATATCCTACTTTTTTTTTAAATTATCATATCCAATATGTTCTCGTGTCTCGTGTCTCAGCTCCTGGTATATGAAACTAGTATAACTTTCTAAACTACTATAAGGTATACTAGAAAACTACAAAACAAAAAATTACAAGAATAAAAATAAAAATTCTCCATTTAGAAGGAACCGGAGCTCATTAGTTAAAAAATACTTTATCTAGTTGAGTATAAAAATTGTACACCAGATGTAGTGGAAAATCAACATAATCTCATCCATGAACTTAAGTATTTTTTATTTTATGGTTTGGGTTATTTGTATTTTAATTAAATTTTAATTTAATTTAATGCATTATCTTGATGGATGTAACTAATAGATATTGTCATGATAAAGACATTATCTAAAAATATAAAACAACTCGTCTTCTTATAATTATTGTTATTAAATTTTATCTTTTTACAACCGTACTAAATAATTGTTGTCATTCTCTTGGCAATTTCAGAGTTTGCACTTGACTTCCATATAATGGAAACTATTCTGCTTTTATTTATATAGATATTATGGTGTACTCAACTTATATTCATTATTAATGAATTATTAAGTTTAAAGAAAAAAAAATTTAATGAATTATTAAGTTAAAAAAAAAAGACATACTCTGAATTGTTTCAAATGGAGCAACAAACTTTTATCAATTTATATAAAGAGTTGAAAGGAAATGGAAAATTGAAAGATTCTAAAATCTCTTTCAATTCAAAAACAATTAGCTATATTTCTTATTATTATCAGACAAAATCATCAACATCGATTTGTAGGAGATATTTTTTAACATTCAAGACAGACAACATCGAAATATTTTAGAAAAGTCTTGTATATCATTTGTTAACTTGCGAAACATATAATTATTTTCTGTCATTTGGTGATAGTCCTCTACAAAGAGGAGTGATCCATTTTTTAAGCGTTCGGTGCCCCATGTCCAAACCGTCCTCCTCTGGCCACCGCCGGCGATAAATCTGCAGCCCGCGATCTCCAACGACGTGTTTCTTATAATGAAAATTTAAACTGAATAATCGAATCATCAGATCTGAGGAGAAATATCTTAAATAATGACTATATCGGACGACGAAGACGAGATATTGGCCCAGTTCCTGGAATCGGAGGTCCTCTCCGAATCATCGGACCAGGTATTTCGAAATTTGGTTATTTTTGTAAAATATATAAATTGTTTAATTTCAATCGATTTGATTTGATTTGTGTGAAAATTTTGATGTATTGTGTCAGGAAACAGATAAGGAAGAGGAGAAGCAGGAGGATAAGGAAGAGGTAAAAGAGAGAAACGTTCGTTTAAATGAAAGCGAGAAGGAGAAAGAGAAAGAGAACTATAGCAATAAACGAAGGAGGATAGAGAGTGGGATTTTTAGCAAGATTCCTCCTGAACTCTTCCCTCACATCCTCAAATTCCTTTCTTCAGAGGTCAATTTTTCTTTCTTTTTATTTTTTATTTTTTATTTTAAATTTCTTGACCTTTTTTTTTTTTTTTTTTTTTTTTTTTTTTGCTATGAATACTTTTTTCCATTAAAAAGTTTTGAACTTTTTTTCTATTACAAATAATTGCAGGATCTCATGGCATGTTCTCTGGTCTGTAAATTCCTGAATTATGCTGCATCTGATGAGTCCTTATGGCGTCGCCTGTTAGTAATTCTATTAAACTTTTTGTCATATAAATTTGTTTATAGTTATATTATTCATTTATATTAAGTGTAGAAAATGTTACAAAATGCAGATGTTCTTGTGTTTTCTTTTTCTTCTATAAAATTTGAATGTTAGTAGTTCATGTATATTGCTTTCTTGACTGTTATTCAGGATTATATATATAAAAAAATTATTATTGTTTACCTAAAATTAATCAGTCCGTCCTTGCTTTTTTTTATAAATACACTACTTCATCCCTAATGGAATTGTCCTCCTGTTCACTTGTGGTACCCTCTCTAAGCCTTATGAAAAGATAAGGGTATTTTTGTCTTGTCATAAGACATTTAACCGCAAAAAGCTTTTAGTAAATGGAACAGTAATATAGGGACGTAATAGTAATTTCTCTCTCTCTATCTCTCTATCTCTCTCTCTCTCTCTCTCTCTCTCTCTATATATAATATATATATATATATATATATATATACACACATGTATATGTGTATAGTATATGTATATGTGTATGTATATTCTCTGTTCCTTTTAAAATTTTTGTCATCCTTCCATTCCAAAACTACTCTTGATAGTTTAAATGCTTAAATTTATCATAGAATACCTTGAATCAATGATCGATCTTATATAGAGAACATTTTTAGGTTCTTGTTATCACAAGTTTGCTGACTTGCCTCCTTTGGTTGCCAATTTACAGTTTTAAGTTGCTGAATTAGTTCATTTTACCTTCCAATCTTCTTTTCTTATTTCTGTTTGCTATTCTGACGTCCCCAGTAGTGCTTGTCTTCGAATTCCTTACTTCCAAATTTCATCTTTCTTTTTCCAAAGCAATGCATTTTGTCTTAGCAACATCAACTTGTACTAACTCTTCAACCGGGTAGCCAGTTCCAATTGCGGCGCCTTCTTTTTTTATTTTGTTTTTTGCCTGACCAAAGGCGGGAATTGGACCAGCGCAGTCCCACTGGTTCCGTTTCCATTCTGAACCACAACTTCCAAGCTGGTTCCAGTCTGATCCGCTGGCCAGCCTATATATAATATTATATTATATATATATAAGTTCCGATGTTTCTTCTTTAGTTCCAAGTTCCTGCTGATGCAAAACTAGTAGCAGCTTTTGCCTCTTAACACTTTGTTGTGGAGTTGCTACCTGTTAACTATTAACAATAATAATAAAAAAAAATATCTTGCAATAAAGAGAAGAAAGGGGGAGGAGGAGAGAGAGATTTAGGTGGATGGTGCGCTTGATATATTCCTCCCCTGGTTTTGGCAATCATTGCATGTGGCAAAGAAATCACAACGAAACTTGCATGGCAAGCTGAGTTTAGAAAGGTGAAACTTTGTGGTGAAACACTAACTGATTTTGGGAAGGACTTGAGACAAGGTGGGTAGCAAAATGTCCCTCTCAATGCACTTCGTTTTGAGGCTAAACTCTTTTGCAAACAATTTTGAGTGGGAACATGTCGAAAGAACTTTTGCATCCATTGAAACTTTTTTGACCCTGCGTAGGTTTGCTCAGCAAATGCCGCGTTTGCATTCCTTTGGTCAAGATACACCACCAGCCATCTTCACTAGCTTTCTAATTACCATTTCTCTCATCCCCTTCTTCTTCATCTTTGTCTTCTTCTCTCTTTATCCTTATGTGTTGTTTTTTTCCTCTCCAGTATTCTTTTAATTTGTAGCTTATTATTGTTGTTGTTTTTGTTGTTAGATTTCTCATCCTCATCAAGATGCACCGCCAACCATCTTCTCTAGTTTGAGATAAGGCTTAGTTGTTGTTGGTGATGATGATGATAGCTTATTATTTTAATTTGTCTCACTAGCTGAAACTGGTTGGGTAACCAAGTTGAAACGCGATTGAAATGAGTGATTTTTGAGTAACAAATTAAACTAAGTGGCTGATAAGATACTACATGCAAAACCGTGTAACTGTTCAATTTTAGGATTCCTATTTTGCAATCATGTTTTTGAAATATACTTTGCAAATTTTTGTTTGTGCTTGATTTGGATTTTTATGCCGTCGAAATAAGTTTATTGTGTAATAATTTAGAGATATTCTATAATTAGTAAAATTTGACTTCTTTGATTCACTGGTAGACTCTAGAAATAATTTTTCCTTATAATTCAAAGAATGCTTAAGGTGTAGATTCAATCTAGCCTTGTTCCACGCATCTACCCTAAGTCAGTTTGGTACTAGAGCGAGGTTTCTCCTAGCTTTCGGTCACATACTATGGTGTGAAAAGCAACCTCTTTGTCAATGATTTTGCAGAGGGGCAAGTAAATATTCAAGATCATATAAATGGTAGAAATTTGCGCTGGAGATTTTGCTTGCGGCAAGTCTATTTGTAGACGTGTTCCTAATCTTTGAGGTATTTCTTACTTCGGTTATGATCTCACAAGAAATATTTCGTAAATTGGTTGTTTTATTTGGAGGTGTATTTGATTTTCTTGAGATTCATAAGGAAAATGTAAAACTTGCTTTTACAAAACCGAAATGTGATGCAGTTAATTGGTAGGATACATTTCACTGAAAGTATAGTACAATTCATTCAAAAATGACCAAATTGTTAGTGGGTGATTTTTTATTCAACTACTATGAAGAGATATTCTATTATTTAAGGAATAAGCTGAATAAATGATGTGAAAACTTTATCGGGCATTTTCTGTTCAATCCTTAGAAGTTGAAGTTTGTTCAAAACCAATAGCTGAAAATTTTATTTGTGTCCAAGAGTTTTTAGACTGTTTTAGTATTTAGGTATTCTTAGATGTGGATTTTATTAGTGCCTAGTTAGGATCCTCATGCCTTATGAATAGGCTTCTTGGTAATACTTTAGAGATAAGATATTATTACAAAAAATTCAGCTTCTTTTATTCTCTAATGGACTCCAATTTTTTTTTTTTTTTTTTATTTTTTATTTTCTGAGGACGTTTAAGGTTTAGATGTAATCTAGCCTTGGTACCATGATTCGATCCAGCACCAATATTTGTACCCTATCATATTCAAATCAAAATATGATTCAATATAAATGAGCCACTCACAAAATAAAATAGGATCTAACATGGCTTGAAAGTGGGCACCTCTATACTGCCTCTCATGTTAATGTCACCTACTATTTCTTGTGGTTGAAATTGTCCTCTATTGTGTCAATGTAAAACTTGATGATCTTGACATCCTAGCTGAGTCTATTTAAATAAATTCACTGTTGGTCCATTATTGTATGTCTGAAGGGCAATATGTTAGTTCCTAAATAAACCTACGTTTATTCTAGTCCACAATTCTGAATGACCCAACTTTTTAATCTTTTTTTTGCCTTGATCTTCTTGTTGTCTGCATAAATGGAAGACAAAAAGTACAAGGACTTCTTTATAGTATCAGTGTCTACAGGTTTCACAATACCGATCACGATTGAAACAACAACCAATGAGTTCTTATAATTCCTATCATTTAGCCTTGTACTTATTAGCTCCTTAATCATTACTCCCATAAATGATTAAAAATCTTTTGATATCAATAGTGTCAAATCCCACTTCTACTGCAAGGTTTTGATCTTGTAAATTTGTGAGAGGATCAATTTGTTGCTTCAGCAGTTATCTTCCCCATTTTAACCTTCTGATTTTTTAGCCCGAGATACATGGTGTAAACAGTTCTATTATGCAATTCCTTTAACCCCATAGCAAGTACACCCTTGTAATGCAATAATATTAACTGAAAATGCTGTCATATGGATTTGTTTTTGATTTAGTTGGCATCAGATTATGATCTTTATGCAAACATATGGCTGGAATTTTCTTGAGTTATGTGCTTCAGTTACTTATTGGCACTTCCATGCAATTATATGTATTCCACTTTTAGGCATGGTTCAAATTAGTTCATATTTTTGAAAAATTTTGTCAGGTACTGTATGCGATGGGGCCTATTGCCTCCTTCTAAGAGGTTATGTGATTGTGCTTGGAAGAAGCTTTATGTTCAGGTGGCCTTTTCACTTCTAAAGCCTTCTATTATTATTATTATTATTATTATTATTATTATGATTAATCCTCTCTCTCGTTCTCTCTCTTATTTATATACATATATATAAGCATAAAAAACCCATTTAGCAGTTCATTTACCATCGACATTTCACTCAATATTCTAAGAAAAATAAAATTCACTCAATATTCAAATAAACATAAAATTTTCACCATATAATTGCTCAAAAACCTGTAATCATCTCTTTCTATACTAATAAGATATTATTATATATACTTTATAGAATGCTTTATTGCTTTTTTTCATGTTTTTTTATTCATGACCAATTTAGAATGTCAAAGATAGGTAATACTAATCACAAGAATTTTGAAGCAATAGTGTTCTACTTTGCAGCGTGATGAAGAGGACATGGTTAAGCTTGTTAGAAATTGTCAGCCTGAGTTTAAAGAGTACTACATCCAAATGCATGCATCAAAGAGAAGTCAAGCTCCCCTTCCTTCTCAGGTAATGCCTGTTGTTTTTGTTGTTTTGTTTTAATTGTTTTTATATGCTATGTACTTTTGCTTTTTAAGTGTTCATTTTTGTAAATAGAGAAAATTCATATTTCTTATTGCATTTCTGTACAAATAGTATACAATTTGGAAAATGAAAACCAAGATTTCTGCCCTCAGTAATACAAAGGTTTTTAATCAGGAGGTATGTGTGTGTTCTAGAATTAGTTTTCAACCTTCAGATTCTTGATTGTTCTTTTTCTGAACTTGATTTTTGTCAGACTGTTTTTGGATGATTATGTATTTAGTAGCTTATCTGTCTGTTGTTTTCTATTGAATTATGCTAACATAGACGGTAAAGAATAGCGCATAAATTATATATCCCAGGAGTCAACTTGATTTATTAATTTATATATGCAAGAGAAGAACTTGCATTAGTATCTTAGCTTAGTTTCATCCAAGCTTAATCTCGGTCATGGATAGAGTACCAAGGTTCAAGTCCATGCCAAAAAGAGAAGCATCTAACCCTTTGAATGTGCTCTTACTGAATATGAAAATTCTGTTTCATATTCCTATGGGGTTGTTGATGCAGATGGCAATAAAGAAGAAACTCAGGAATGAAGTTATAATACTAAGAAACCTCAGGATTAGGGTCTAGATATGATGTTGGGTTTATCTATGATATTATAGAGCACTTATTAGCCATTTTAGAGTTTTATTTATTTCTATTCAAATGAATGAGCTGCTGGTCTAATTTTAAGCCTCAACATCAATCCCGTGATTTTCCAAATTTGCTGAAAAAGTTAAATGGATGTCTTATGGAGTCCTTAATTTTATTCCATGTCTTATTTTGAGTCTTTGTAGGTTTTGGAGAATATTGGGGTGTATATACTTATAGAAAATAATTTTCTGTTTTCTTAGAATATGAAAAATAGAAAATAGAAAATGGAAAACACTTTCACTAGTTAATAATAAAAGATCATATTTCAATTAAAAACTTTAGAAAACATTATTCATAACTTTCATAATTAAAAGAAATAAAAATATTATAAATCAAATTTAGAAACTTTTAATTTAGAATTTTGTAAATATTCATTATTGATTTATTTATGACAATAATATCAATTTTTATCATTTTGTAATTTTTTTAAAAAATAAATGATATAATTATAAATAGATTTTTATGTAATAATAAAAGTTACAAATTAAAGCATAATATAAAATCGAAAAAATAAAAAAATTTTCATTAAATTTTAAATATTTTTTGATCATTTTTCAATAAAAAATATATATTTTTTTAAAAAATTATAGATATTTATAATTTTAATTATGAAAAAGTCATTTTTTAAAATGGAACCGCTGGAAACATTACTTTTCTTTTCGAAAAACCGTTTTACTTCTCCAAATAGAAAACTCTGTTTTTCAGTTTGAAAATTTTTCCAGAAAACTACCCCAGTTTTCTACAAGTGAACAACCTCTTATTCTCTATTTTTCTTTGAGGGTCCAAACTCTTAGGGCTATTTGGTATTGTTGTTGTTTTTTCACTCTTGGTTTTTGTTTCTCAAATTTGAAAGAAAAATCCATCATTTAAATTTATTTGTTTAGTTACTTGGTTTCTTGAAACAGAAAAAACTAGTTGTCAAAACAAAGAAAAATCATAAGCAGTGGTTTTTGCTTGTTTTATCAGCTTGTTTTCAAAAAATAAACTTTTGGTTTAGAAAATAAGGAACCAAAAACCAGAAACAGTATGACACCATACCCTCCCAAGTGTATTAGGGCAGGTTTTAGAGTTCATTATCTTTTATGTTTATGAGTATGACGTTTGTAATGCTTTCTGCCCAGCTCTTTGGTTAATAAAATTTCTAGCAATATGCTTCTTCAAGTTTTGCGGGTATCTTTGGTGTAATGGCAAAGTTACTCCACTCGTGACTTGGAGGTCATATTTTCGAGCCTTGGAAGCAACCACTTTGCAAAGTAGGGGGAAGGTTGAGGCTGTTCGCATCTTCAATCCTCCTCAGATTCCACAAATATAGGACGCTTTGTGTACTACGGTACCCTTTTTTTAATGCTTCAGATTTTGTTCTGCCATTCAACCCTTAAAATGGCATCAGACAGTTTTCTGTCAACAGATTAATGGTAATTATCGATGGAGATCTAACTATGGACATAAGTACTAAAGGCTGATGTTCTAAAGAGGTGTTAGAGCCTTGGCACAACCGTGCCCTTGTGAAGCCAAGCTTAAAAGAAAATGAAATTTGAGGAAAAATTGAAAATTAACACCTAGTTTTCTTTAAAAAAAAAAAAAATCAAAATAATAACATTATTGAACCAGATAGATCAAAACTTAACAATTTTTAAGCATCAATCTAATGCTAGCAATTCCTTGAAGAGAAGGAACACAACAAAGATCATCTACATGAAAATTTATAAAACGTTAGTAAATGCCTTAACAAAGATCATCTGCATGAACATTTATAAAACGTTATTAAATGCATTATCTTCTATGTGGAAATTAGTCTTAATGACGGAATCGATAGACAATGAAATTTGAATTTTTTTTCCATCAAATCTTAATGTCTCTTATCAAATACTCTCTCCGTCCCATTTGTATAGGCTTTATTTTTCATTTGTCCCATATTGTTTCCTATTTCTTTATTTAGAAGTGGATAATTTACTTAGTTTTCTATTTTGCCCCTATTTGATAGCATATATCTCAATAAATGTAATGTTCATAATTAATAACCTTCAAATAAGCAGGTGTACATAAACAACTTTGAAAATGGCCCTATCTCTATTTTATTCCCGTTCATGGATCATTAATACGAGGGCATATTAGGAAAAAACAAAGGATAAGAAATTGTAACATAAACGTATTAACTATTTTTTCTAAACTATGTGAAAGTCAAACCAGATATATATATGTGAGATGGATGGAGTAGTATGAAAAAAAGCCTTAATCCTATAAAACTACTATTCACTGAACAAAAGCCTCCGCCAAGCCATAATTTTGAAAAATTCAACATGTAGGCAATGTACGCCTACATTTACTATTTGTTGATGCAGTCTACCCACTAAAGCAGTTCCAACTCCATTCTTTTTTTTTTAGTTGTGCCTCAAATATATCATAAATATCTAAAAACAAAACCCTAAAAAATTTCTGGAAGCCACAGACCATTGATATTGTTTCCAACACAATGCTAACTTTTAAAGTGTTAGGTATCCTACATCATTCTGAATGAGAATCATTTTTACTATATCAGTTTTATGTTCTCTGTGATACAGTGATCTAATAGAAGATTCAAGGCCAGGCATTGGGGTTTAATTCTATTTGTCTGCATAATATCTAACTATACAAAATAAAGAGTTAAGTTTCTAACTAGATGCACATTTTCTCACTATTTTTGTTCGTTTATGAAGGTGAAAGATGATCAGATAATTCTTGACAAGACGATTGCTGAACAAGTGTCTATATGGAAAAAGAGCAGAGGCCTGAGTGATAAGGTGGTCACTGACCATGCTTGTTCTGGAGAAATGTGTTCTTACTACCAAATAGGGGATGTTTTCGTTTGTGAGAAGACTGGAAATGTTCATGGTAGAAACTTTTCGTGCTTAAATATGTACAGTTTGTCTTTGTTTTATGACATCCAGGCATAACATTTTGTCTTGTTTCTTTTTTCAGTTTGTGATGAGACATGCAGGGAAACAGTCATAAACCCTGTAAATGAGCTTTTGGTCTGTACAATTTCTGGGTTATGTTTTGATAGATTAGTGTCCCCATACGAAATGGAACCTGATCCTGTAAGTAAAATTTTCCTCTGGCTGATTTTTTTTGTTTTGGGTCTTGTATCTTTATGCAACCCTGATTTCATGTAACATACAGTAGCTGTTCTGCTCAAGGATTACAGTCTTCTGTGGTAAGTTTGAATGGCATGGATAGGATAGCTATTAGGCTGCATAAGAAAAAGCAGAATCAAATGACTATTAATCAAATTGTCTTCATAAAAGCAATTGAGGAAAACCAGAGTCTATTTATGCTTTAAGCAGTAGAGATTTGCTAATTTTGTTTGCTGTTCTGATCTTTTGTTATTTAGAAAGTTACGACTATTTTTCTATAATCCTTCGTATTTTTGTGGAAGGCTGAAGGTGCAGTGGCAGATGAAGCAGAGCCTTTCATGGGATCTGGTCGTTTTGGTAATTGAATAAACTTTGACATTATCATTTTCACATACTTTCTAGATGTTCAAGATTTACTAATCTTATTGCCCTGCTTGTCTATGGCAGCACGGGCTTACTCGTTGGGATATAATTGTGATGATGAGGAGGAGCTGGAAGCTGCTTTGAGGTTTTGCTGATATGTTTGATTTGGCAGCAGATGTCATAAATTTATGGTACAGATATATTTCATAAATTACATTGTATAAATTGATCACTTGGGTGAAATGCTTTAGTAAATAGTTTCTTTTCCTGCAGATTATGTATTGTGTAAAGTTGTAAGGCATGCCCAATGACCTCGAGCTAAGCCAAATTCAGGGGACGGAAGTTTGCTGGGAATAGGCAATTAATTATGTGTTTATGAAGCTACGCAGGCGGATTTCAGTTAGTTATATTAGTATTAATATTAATATTATATATTAGTGTGGATATCAGTAGCAAATTTCCTTTTACATTAATATTTATACTATTTATTTCCTTTCTTGTTTTCCACTCTGTTTGAATCGCAAGGAAAATAAGATGAGGAAAGAAAATATAATTAATGTCAATTTATAACTTCACCTTAATAAAAGAGAGGGAATAATAATGAATTAATTGGGCACTTGTGTAATAAAAAAAAAAAGAAATTGCACAATCAAAATCAAAATAAAAAAAAAAATAGAAATTTTCACAATCAAAATCAAAATAGTTCAAAACGGAGCCATTAAGTGTGCACATATTGCAAATACATATAAATCATTTTATGTTATAACTTATAAAAAGTCAGTTGACTTGAACATCCTGATAAAATAAAAAACTGTTAATTTCTCGTAACTTTGAAATATATAGAAGCGCCACACTGCAGATTCCAGACTCCTTTACACTGAGCAAGCTAATCTAATGGCTAATAAAGTATCCGCATGAGAAAAGTTCCTCCGTATCCATCCCACATCGGTCAAATGAAAATATTCAATGGATGGACTTTGACTATAAACTGGGCAACGTAACGCAAAACAAGGCATACCTTTCTCGGCCTTTTGGCTAAGACCAAGTGTAGTATCTGTTCTTATCAGTTTAATTTCTGATACGTGGGCCATTGGCCCACATGATATTAAATTAGTTTTTCATTGGGGAGGGCCCATTTTAGTAGCTTGCTACTGGGTCATCATGCGTCCCCCATTCGTTGCACTACTGTTTGGGCCTGGCGCGCCTCCATCATATAGTGCTAAGGATTTTTGGGTCTGATAATTGGGCTGTATTCTGTGTGAGGTGCCATTTGAGGATTTATAATGGAGTTTGTTTAAAGTAGATCTCCAAAATTTGAGTTTGTTTTCTCACTATGTATTACTTAGCTTGAGTCCTCTCTCAAAAGCTAGTATCTGCAGACTCACTAGTAAATTTATGTTGTTCAAGTGTATTTGACTAAGGGACAGACCTTGGAATTCCAAATAGTTGGCCAAGAAAGTACTTTCTTTGTCTAGATCTTCCTTTTACACCAAGCTATTGGGGCCTGAGTCACTGCTCGCCCTCTACGAAGTTGTTAGGTGAGACAATTCGTGTTGTGGGGGTATTGTTATACTTGTAATAATAATCGAGCAAGTTGTCATCGTCCACAATAAATAAATTTGTTCCATGGAACCCCAAAATTCTCCTAGCAAACCTTCTTCTCATGGATAGTTGAGGTTCATCCTCATTCGCTTCCATTCTATGGGTCAGTGATAAACAACATTTCACTAAGAGCCTCTTGTTGCTCTTGCTCAGTCTCTACATGAGGCTTGCCCCCAAGAATGCTATCATCACTCAATATGAAAATCAGCTCGGAGTATAGTTGCTTGAACTAGTGGGAGAATCATGTAGCACTAGTTGCTTTCCTTTTCAATTGGTTCAAGATTTTAAGTGTGATAAGAGCTCGGTAAAAAATGCTCAGTTGAAGTAGATAAAGGGTTCGGAGAATTTACAAGTTGGTAAGACAGTTGAGGTGATTTTAGAGGCTCAAAAACAAAAAGTAAAAGAAAAAAAAAAAAAAAAGCAGGCAAATATATATATAAACTTTTAAAAGTTCCAACTACTCGTGAATATGAATAAAAAAATTAAAGAATTCACAAATATCTTCTTCAATTGAAATTATATCCACAATACTTATCAAACTTGTATAAGCACTGAATCATTGATTTTTTTTAACTCTCCATGTGTTTAAATTATTAAAGAAGTTTTTTTCTCTTTAATAATAATTATTTTTTATTTCAATTTTGTAATTTATTGTTTAATTCAATCATAAATTTCACGGTCCGTCGATCACATAAATACATGACTATCTATAATTAAAATTATTAACCGTGTGTGGCATGAACATACAGCCGATCACCCTAATTAAGACAATGGTTCATATTGGTTTGGAATTTGAATCGAGTCGTCGGTTTAAAATTGAAATAGAATCAAACCGTCCCAAATTAACTCAAACCAATTTAAAATTACAGTTTTAAAAGATTGATGGTTTGGTTTGATTTTATAAAATTTAAAAACCGAGCTTTTCATTTTATGATTTTAAAATTAAAACCATCCAAATCGAACTAAACCAACGCACGCACGCACATATAAATTGAATAAAGATTTCTTTTGTATTAATTAATTTATATTGGATAGTAAATTATGAAATATCTTATATTGAATAATAATTTCTCATTAATTAGATAAATTATAGACTAATTTATAAAATGTTCAAATGTTAAAGATTCATGTAAAATTATATTAATATATATGTGTAAAACTATACTTTCTATAAATTTTAGTAATATATGCAATTAAATCAAAATTTAAATTTTATATTTATAATTTGCTTAATTATTATTTTACTGAATATATGATATTTTTATACTATATTAAGAATATACACATAAAAAATTAATTTAAAAACGTTTAATAGCTATTCAAAATCTTGTATATTTTATGCATAATTTTTATTAATTTATTTTTCATATTCAATATGATGTTAATCTCTTTTTTTTTTCTTATTAACTAGGCGAATGAAAAAGTTTAATTTTTTTATTTCAAACCGTCAAAGCGAACTAAATCAAATCAAATCAAAACTGCCACAAAAAATTTAGTTTGATTTGAAATTTTCATATTTTGATTTGAATCTTCTTTTTTTTTTGGATTCGACACTTTAAATTTGGTTCGATTATTATATTCAAATCGATCCCAACCAGCTATGAACAGCCCTAGCGGTTAGTCGATTTGGGTTGGGACTTGGACAGAAACGAAAGACGACACGTGCCTGTAGTATCTCTTAGACGCGTTAACTCCGCGTCAGGTAAGCGCGTGGAATCATATCTTTATTACTCTTTAAACTAAATAAAATCTCATGAATTGACATTGTGTCAATAACCCATATATTTTGTATTACCATTCAATCACCATCTTCGCTTTCTGAAGAATCGCATCTAAACAACGGGTAAACTTCCTTCTTCTTCTTCTCTCTTTATGTATTATTTCTTTTGTAAGATCTCTTTAGTTCTGAAATTTCATTCTTATGATGTTTGTTTGTTGAATTTATTTGAATTTGACCTAATCGTTTCTGTTTCTATTATGAATCTTGATTGATCATTTTTTTTTTCTGTCTGGTATTAAGATCTATCTTTTCAATTACAATCCCGCATTTGTTTTTTGTAGCGTTTGGATTTACCCCATTTTATAGGATTTCATATATAATTATTGGACGCCTGACCTTTTGGCAAATTTGTGATCAACCATGAAGAAGATGATTTTGATTTTCCTCCAAGTTGATTAAGAGACTGTGTCTATTTATCATTCTAAATACTGTAAATGGGATTTGAAATGCATCTTATCTCACATGTATTTGTGGATCACAAACTGTTGTTAGTGAGGGAGGGAGCATATAGCTACCTAGCTACACTATTTCTCATATTTGATTGTGATATACATGTCATGCTTCTTGAATTTTATGGAATTTTATTAATGCCGGTTGGGAATATAACTGATGGAACTTACTGCATGTTGATTATGCAGTATAACTTACTCTTTGCTAAGTAACAATGGGAGGCGGTAAGGATAAGCATGATGAACATGACAAGGGTCTTTTTGGGCATGGTCATAGTCATGGTCATGGTGTCCCCGGATACCCTCCGGGCCAATACCCGCCACAACCTGGACAATACCCCCCACAAGGTTATCCCCCGCAGCAGGGCTACCCTCCTGCAGGATATCCTCCTGGTGCTTATCCTCCTGCAGGCTATCCTCCAGGTGCTTACCCGCCAGCTGGTTACCCTGGTCCCTCTGCTCAACACCATTCAGGTATGATTTGCGGAATATACTTTTTTTATGTTTACATTGCTAGTTTGATGTTAGAGAAGTTTGTTGAACATATTTAACGATGTTTGCAAGTTATTAAGTATCTTAATTTGTTGTCAGGGCATGGTGGCATTGGGGCAATGCTTGCTGGGGGCGCTGCTGCTGCTGCAGCTGCTTATGGTGCCCACCATTTGTCTCATGGCAGTCATGGCAATCACCATGGAATACCCGGTGCTCACTTAGGAGGATATGGTTCACATGGTGGAAAGTTCAAGCACCATGGTGGCAAGTTCAAGCACCATGGAAAGTTCAAGCATGGGAAGCATGGAAAGCACGGAATGTTTGGAGGAGGGAAGTTCAAGAAATGGAAGTGAGGAGCCTATCCGTTAAGAAAATATGAACTTTAACTGACTTTACAGTTGCAAACTCAAAGTTTCTTTGAATAAACCGCATATTTCATAATGCAACTGTTTTTATCTTTTTCTTCCCCCCTTTCCCTCCCGCCTTTAAGCAGTTGTATATGCTGATGTTGATGTTATATGATTATAAAATGTTCGATTTGGTTCTAATTTGTTTGTTACACATTGATCACATGGAATTCTCTTAATTATATCGAGTTAATTAATTTGCAACGCTTAAATCTTCTTTGGTGAAATGACAGTCACTGGAGCATACTGTCAAATGTTTTTGGTTAGCATCTCTGCATTATAATTTCTGCAGCAGGGCTTTGGTCGTGTACTGGGTTTTATTGCAAGCATGCCAATCCGAATCCAGGATGAAGTGTAATTGACTGTCAGTCAATTTTATATGATCCACCAATTCGAAAATAAATAAAAGAACAATAAAATGGTGAAAACTGATAATAAAAATGAACTTGATAGATTTACCGTTTACCTAAATAAGATCTTATATAGTTGAAAGGCGGCCAAATTCACTTGGAGGTCCTACCATAAACTGTGCCACTCAGCCTTCTATATTGTATTTTTTTTCACATTTTGGCTCGTTAAATTCTTTCAAACAAATTAAAGAGTTATAGAATATTTTGAACTTGTTAATTCTTATCATGTTGAATTGGTAAAGAATGACACCACCTTGCACAAGGCATCACTTGTTTATAAAATAATGTCTTAATTATAATTATGACGAGGGAAATTAGATTTAGCTTGTATTTTGACATTGGGAAATTAATACATTACTCTGATTTGTAGTTGATGAAACACAAGACTGCACGCCCTCAAATTACAAACCAAAAGAAGATTTTAAAATCAAAACCCCCCTTATAGTATCAGAGTTTATTTCTTTATTGCACTACTGAAAAGATAAATTTTCTCTCTTGTAATTTTACAATGATTACAGGAAATAAATCAGCCTCATTGGTGATTAAACGAAATACATTATCCTCCCCCCTATTGCGTCTGACAATAAATATGGGGGAACAGTCTTCTTCCCAAACCCAAAATATGAATACAAGACGTATTGGTTCAATGTGTTAGGAAATTAAATTAACTAACTCAGGTACATTCTCTTTTAACTTATAGAGTTTGTTCTTTCTAAACTAGCTCAGCTGCTCAAGACATTCTCCTTTTCTGTATCTCTCCTACTTCAACAGATATTATATACTTTGGAGGTTAGACTTAGGCCTTACCAGGGTGGGTGGTCAAGCTCTGGCGTCTCTGGTGGCATTGGTTTCCAATCGGGTTTCTCATCCCAGTACATGTCATAATATACGTGTCCTGGGGTGTGATTTTCCACGCAGCACCATATACCAACATACCGCTTCACACGATTCCTAAATTTTTCTTCTCTTGCCTGAGCACATATACAACACAGTATCAGTATCCGAACAACTGAGCACTTTCAAATTACAGAACCCAGAAATTACAGCATATCAAAGTTCAATCCAACCTTTTTCAAACAGTAACTAGCCCCTGTATTTATTGTCTACTTAGTTGAAATATATAAGAGAAAGCCTGCCTAAATATCCAGAATGAAGGTGTTCACTTGCACCTTCGTAAGTGAGACACATCCACTTTTGACCTTTTGCGTTGGCTTACTCTGATTTAACAAACTACTAATGTCTTCTTAATGGAAGAATGTAACAATGGGTATGCATATAAATTTCAAGGATGATATACCAATGGTTAATTTTCTCAAAATTTTAACTCTGACAAACCGCACAAAAGAAATTGAAGACTTGCCTTGTCGGTGAAACCTAGGAATCCATCTTGCATTGAAGAGAACTGAATAACTTTAACATCCTTGAAGGATGAGAATACGGCCTTGATCTGCATATCACAAGCAATATGAAGACAGTGAGAGAAGTCCATTGCCCAGGTGAAAATTACAATTTGAATTTCTTGTAACTAATTATGCTACAGCAGAAAACCTATTGAATACTGAAATGAAGAACTAAAAACAAACCTAAAATCTAATGAAACCAAATGAACACAAATTTTAGGGAGCATCAGGAGAGGAGGAAAATTATTATCCAAGTTTTTGGGACCATTTGGGGAATATCAATATTCATACCTCTCCAGCTCACTGTCCAAGTGCTAAGGACTTTTCTCAGCTCGTATCCTTTATTTATTTTTGATTTATTTGAGGATCTCCTACGCTTTATTTTTAATCCTGTTTTCTGATCAAAATTTGATTTTCCACTAGCCTCTTAGTATATCTTGACGTTTCTCAACTTAATCTAATGATTATTTGCAAAATAAATCTAACTCCTAAGTTTTTCTTATTATTATATTTTTTTTTTTTTCTGCATTCCTCATGCATTTGTATTCAACTAATAGTTATTTTAGACATCAGAAGCATTAATGATTCCCTAATTTGCTACCCAGGTTCCCATCTATCTATATCCATTACTAGAAGACACAACGGAAGCTACAAGATCTCCTTGTAGGTCAAGAAAATATTATGTGAGAGAACATCTTGCACAAATATATCATTAATTGAAATTCAGGTACCATGTCCTCGTTGCTGTGTTTTGGAAATCTCAGTACTCCTGATGGACTTGTTCTGTTTGATGCAACACAACCATGAGTTCCTTCTTGACAAAGCTGGACATCAAGCCATGACTCTTTCACCTACAAATTTCCAAAACAAAGTTGCCCATAAGTTATCATTCCTGTACTTGGTTATCAAAGTGCGTCTGATATCTGAAATTCTAGCACACTTAATTTTGAAGCGTTTTTGACAAAATTTTAAGGGGAAAAAATACACTACTTGATTTTTACTAATCAACATTTTCTTCTAACTGCCAAAAACCACTATGTTCATTGTCTACCATCATCACACCATCATCGCTGTTAGCATCACATGCCACCATTAGATTAACGAACATGACAAATACCTTAATAATTATAGCCACCACAACTACCACTACAGCTTCAGTTGTCATGACCATTTCATGATTTTCCAATTATGTTTCTATTGTTATGCAGATTGCATAATCATTAAAATCTTTCATTTAAAACAATAATTTTTGGATTTAGAAACACCAACAATTTAGTTGCATTTCAGCTTTTAAAATTTTTCATTTTTATCAAACATCAAACTCTTTCAAATAAATGTAACTTTTTGTCTTTACTTGTTTTGGCAATGAAGGATTGTCCAGAAAAGAGTACTCTCTGATATTGATCCCAGGACCAAAATCCTCCTCTGGCAACTGTTTCAACATGACATTCACCTGCAAGTAGTACATATTCCTTTATTAAGAGAATCAAGCAAAACCAAAAGGAGAGGGCTGCATACAGTGAGGTCTTGTTCAATATTTCTCATCTTCTAATTTTACATGCCTGGTATGAAACTGTATGCACAAGCGACAAGGTCAAGGTTTTTTCTCTAATTGAACAAAAAAAAATCTATTTTCTTTTACACAACAAGAACAACGAGAAAGCCTAAAGATTCTATTTCTTATAGGCAATAAAAATTTACCAAAAGATTCATCCCATTTTATGAGGAATAAAGAGACAATAAGAATAGTATCAAATACAAAATAAAAAAAGAAAAAGAACAGCTACAGCGTGTTTAAGATCTTAGGGCACTTTCAATCTGTTTGGCTGAATCATATGAGGTCCATTTGGATAGATATTCAAAATGGTTGAGCACTTGAATTTGGCATCTATTATTTTTATGATTTCTATTATTTTTTACTTGAAACACGAATTCAAATAAGTTATCCTGACACCTTCCATCTGACCAAAATAAAGATGAAAGGATTATCACCTCCTCCAACCGAAGGAAGGGAAAACAGATAAAAAAAACTGAAGAGTATTGAAAGCAAATAAGACTTCGATGGGGAAAAAACAGGAATCAATTAAGGATATATCCAACTCTTCCACCAAAATGGAAACCATTAGGAGCTCAATAGAGAGATTCACTTATTTCACAAGACACATAAGGAACTTAATTGACTTTTATCATAGAAGAGACTTTGACAGATTTTGCATGTTAAATGATACCGAAATTCACAGGCAGAAGCTTGCTAATTCCTTTCTAAAATAAAAACACAGGCACAATACTTAAATGTGTCAGAATATCAAAATACCTCAAACACATGGTCCAAAGGGCAGATAAAAGGTTGTCTAGTCATAGATCCCACCAGAACTCCAGGATGGGAAAACCATAGTCTATCCAATCTGCACCATATTGGAGGCATAACCTGGTATTTACACATCAAAACCAGAGAAAAGAGATCAACATATGAACTTATTCAGCATTTACTAGCTATACAGATCAGTTAATTTGTAAACTACAACGTTTACAAAGTATATGCATACTACTAATTTGAACACAGTATTCAACCTAAATTTACTTTTGAACCAAGGAAAACCATGTCCGCTCAAGTCAGTAAGCCAGATTTTATTGGCCCATCCTTAAGTCCATATCAAAACAATGAATAATTACAGTTGAGCTCTGTTCTCGTTATCCAAGTGGACCTGGTAACTCCACTGGTTAAGCATAAGTGATTCAGGTGGGTGAATCAAGCACCTAGACACTTAGCACCTGGGTGAGCCTCGTACTCCTTTGATAACATCCACTTTTAGGTTGCCCCAAACATTTCCCCGAGTCAGTTGACAGTTTGTCTCATTTTTTATGTTAGAAAGAAACTATTATTTTCCAAATTTAAACTAGCCCAGCGTTTTAACATTTAGCTACTACAAATCACACTCAGTTGCCATGCAAACCACAACATTCAAAAAGGCCAAAGATCAATGGTATTGTAGACATCAATAGTATTTTAGACATTTATACTGCATGTTGAATACACTTCATAGAAAAACCACATATGTCCTTTCATCTATCCTGCATTTGAATTGACACCTCTAAATACCCATCCAAAGGTCATAAAAACAGCCAGAATTATCAAATTTCATTTCTTTGAAACAGAAAGACAAATGCACACACTCACATAAGTCAAGTCATTCAGCTTGAAACAATCTTTCCTACAACAATTCCATTTTCGTTGCCAGTTCTTCAATTAGAATGCTTTCCATTTTTGTCATAGCCCATAAGTTTGTTAATTTTTAAGTGAAGGAAAACTTTAACTCACAGTTAAAAATGAAGGCTATAATAAAACTTCTATTAGCTCATGTAAGCATCTCCAGTTAGAATGTCCGCTTGCTATGATTTTACTGTAGACAGAAGTATAAAATTTGGGCACACAAATTAGAATTGAATACAGTAAGCTTATCTTCTACTTGGTAAACTCCAGTTAGTATAGTGTAGGGTTAATGTTCGATCATTTCCAGTACTTACAACATGGTAATCCCTCTAATGAGAATGTTTTTTTCTTTTCTTATATGTTATGAACCATTCAGTCAATGAAAACCTCAAGGTGATAAGCCGTTAACTGGGAAAAACATGGACGAAAAAGAAGGGCAAACATTTGAGAGTAAGGATTGCGATGTTTAACCTCCAATATGGATTAATATTTACAATGAAACAAACAAGTGAACCAAGATAGAAATCTAAATAATGTGCTAACTCAGATTGAAATTACACAATCTGTTAACCACTATACTCTCCGCAGTCTTTGTCGCGATATAACAAGCATAAAACATTAACCATGAAATCAAGTATAAGCATGCCATCAATAATGCAAATGCAAATATCTTGGCAATGATAACAGAGAACAGATCTTCGCTACAGCCTAATTCTAATACAAAATAAGACAAGAATGTTCAATTGTTGGAATTAATCTCACCAGTGTACGGTTTAACAATGAAGCAATTGCAAGTGCTGACCTGATTTGTTTAATCTGAACAAAGTCATAACAAAATAAATTGAGGCTCAACAAGGTAGTATACAAACAATAGCAGCCACTATGTTATAATGCTAAGCATGCATACCTGATAATTAATTAGAGAAAAATGGGATTCAAGACTGTGCTGTCCATCTAGTACCAAACTCTTTGGTATAGATGGCTTAAATGACAAAAACCCCCCTGCATGGATTCCCATGAGAAGTCAAAGAGCAGAAATATTTTCAGAGAAAATGAGAACTCCAACCATTAAATAATAGCAGGTCCAATAAAATGTCACATTATCTAGTGTTATAGACAATTTAGCATGAACTTGATTACTGGAGAAAATTGAAATATTCCACAGATAATTTGGCCACTTCCTGAGATAGGAAGATACGAATATATCGCAGATACTATTAAGTAAAATTTCTCTTAAGATGAAAAAAAATCTTCAACCATTAACTGAAAGCACATGTGCATCAATATGCTAACATGTCATGCCAATTAGTGTCCAAGTATCTAATGATGGCTCTTTCAGTTTTAATTAAAGTAAACTTTTCCATGGAGAATAAGACTAAATTTTGGCCCAATGAGAGCCAACATAACAAGAGAAATATGATTACCATAATATTGAAACATGTGTTATATTTGCAGAAATTATTAAAATAAGTAGATGAAACTACCTGGTGCATCATAGTAATCTGGTGGATCATAAAAAACCATGCCTTCCCGTAATCGGTGTCGCTTTCCTTCTGTACCTGCATACTGAAATGTGGTATGCACTGCATATGCCTCCAATCTGAGCTGTTGATGCATTGCCTGCCAAAATGATATAAAGTCTCAGAAATATGCTTATTACACCTTTTTCATGTCGCTGGTACTTGTTCCAAGCAAGATATTTCAGGTACAAAGCAACATGAAAAACAAGACAGGTAAATATCAAGACCACCAAAACTAACATGTAGATTCTACCTGGACAAAGTATGTATGTCCACTGCAAAATATACTTGCTGGTAAAATTCCTAGCTTGAGATTTCCATCAAAAGCATATACGAGTCCACTTTCATCATCAAGAGATGGTCCTAACTGTCTGCGCACAATATCATTGAATCCATTCTGATCCCATATCTTGTCGTCAGCAAGGAGCACTTCTTTCCATTCTTTTGCCAATTTTTTTGAAGACTCTGTCGGTCTCCAGTGGAAGATTCCTATATTATAGGCAGCACCAACTGCAGGAAGCGAATAGACAATCTAATTGGTAAGGTAATTATAGCAGAGCAGACAAACACATGCGAAATATGATAAAACTTAATTGATAAATTTAAAAAATAGTGAATCAGCCAGTGATATGACTGAACTCAAGTACGTCTGTATCTGTGACTTGGACTTGTGCCATGTACATTAGACGGAAGCAATGGAGGGCCACGGGAACCACTTGTTGTGAATACAGAAGCAAATGCCCAATTCCAATAAAGAGAAAAGCCAGAATTTGGAAAAACAATCTAGGTAAGCATTCATGAGTTTACTCCAACTCCAGAGAGACGTTATCATTTATATGCACACAGCATAAACAATTTACCATTCAGCTATCAGGAACCTTAACAATTTACCAAAGCCTCTTGATGGTAATTAACAATAAGTTACTGTAAACTTTAACAAACATGAATTCCTCTCCATGTGCCCAACCAGATATTATACATGGCAGAAAATTTTCGAGCAAAAGACGATTCAAAAAGTACTAGACATGCCATCAAAATAACAAAGAAAGGCAAATTACATAAGCTACACGTAAAGAGTTATGAAATTCATTTTAGCATAATGATCTTCACCTTCTTGCCAAATGTCCAGCCTGTCGTCAACAACAGTTGGTACAACTTGATCACTTGAAGTTAAAACATCTGCATCAGGATAACGAGCAAGATATGGCAGTGGGTTCTGTTTCCGGAACATAGCAGATAAAATAAAAGTAAACCACTTCAGACTGTATTTATGTATCAAAACAATGCAAAAAAGGGAAACAAAAAGGTCCTACATGGTACCTATTGTAGTATGCATGATGATTTTAGACATGGTACAAGAAACAAAGAACTGGCATGTCAAAAGATTAGATGCAACAGAAGTAAAGAAAATAAAGAAGATGTACATTGATCTCACCTTCTTGCCAAATGATCCAAGCCGTCGCTCAACCAACGTTGGTACAACTTGCATCACGCTTGAAGTTTAAAAACAATCTTGCATTCAGCGATAACGCAGCTAAGATTATTCAGGAGCAGGGGTTCTGTTGTCCGGAACATAGCAGATAAAATAAAAAGTTAAACCACTTCGACATGGTGATTTATGTATCAAAACACATGCCAAAAAAAGAGGAAACACAAAAGGTCCTACATCTGTACGCCTATTGTAGTATGCATGATGATTTTAAGGGACATAGGTACAAGCAAACAAATAACCCTGCCTACTGTCAAAAGATTAGATGCAAACAGAATGTAAAAGAAAATACAAGAAGATGTTACATGAACATACAGAACTGAGACTGGAAGAGCACGTCATACCAAGTTTTTTCCACCAAAAAAAAAAAAAAAAAAAAAAAAAAAAAAAAATAGCTACCCCAAATAGAACTGCAATACAACAGAGAGACCTTTCTATTGGACAACGGCATATTACATTGTGAGTAGCAGGTGTCCACAAAGAAACCTTCAGCTCACCAACCAAGGAAAAAAAAAAAAAAAAAAAAAAGCTACCCCAAATAGAACTCAATACAAAAGAGCCTTTCTATTTGGACAAGGCATTATTAATTGTGATAGCAGTTCCCACAAAAACCTCAGCTCACCAACCAAGGAAAGTGTCAACAAACAAAAAATAGAAGCCATTCATTTAAATAAAGCATAATAAAAAAGACAATAATTTTCGCAAGAATAATGCCAGTAATGCAGATCTTTTATCCCAAAAGAAACAGTTTAGTACATATAACCTACCTTCAACCAAACCATATCCGTGTCACACATCAACAGTTCATAACCAAAAGGGAGAATAGCATCAATAAGCATAACTTTTTCTCTCCCCATCTTGTGAAAGGTAGGTGAACCCCAACCAACATCTGCTGTACTCATATGGCTTTCCATGTCAAAAACTGGAACACCTTTCCAGTACAAAGCCTCTAATAACTTAGTGTCCATAGCACCTACTCAAAAGTAAACAAATTTTCAATTCCAAACTCATCGAAAAACGAAAAATCTTACTGTATAACTACAAAATTTACGTACCAACAAGAAGATTAGAAAGGCCCAAATCAGTCAAGTGCTTAACCCAAGTAAGAATAAAATCCATAAAGGCATAGTTACCGAAGGTGACTATAATAACATTATCCTGGACTCTTTCCTCAACCATTTTTTTTGTAAGTCTAAATTTCTTTATCGAAGGCATTTTCGAATTCCCTGGAGGGGCTTCCCAAATTGGCTTTAGCTGTTTGGTCTGCGGCCGTAATGTTTTTATCGGCGGACTTACAACTACAATTGACTTTGCTTCTTGTTGAGAAATGTTGGACGATTGATCAATATCTGAGCAAATTATATAAAAGAAAAACATGAAAAACATGATTAATTAATAACAAAAGAAGAAGAAGAGAGAAGGGCTTACGGCGAGAGAGAGAAGAGGGAGGAGAGGAGAGCCAGGTAGTGGCGGAGAGAGAGGAAGAGGAGTAAACGGCGGAGAAAACGTAAAAGGAAGAGAAGAGTATTCCGACAACGACGGTGGCATAGATCGTAAGGAATAAGGGTTTTGTGTTGACCACTGCCTGATAAGCATTTCTCCATAAGCCATTTCCATTTCCATTTCCTCCGGTCATTATTTCTTCTTGTTATGGTTATGAACGATCTGATCAACTTCTGCAGATCGAGTCAATCATTTTTCATTTCCATCTCTCTCTTTCGTTCTCATCAGCCATCTCTCTCAGTCCCCCTCTTCTTATGTTCTGAAACTGAAGCTGAAGCTAATCAATTTATTTTTGGTTATTTCTTTATATTAAATTAAATTATTGGTTGTGTATGATAGTGGCACGGTGCTTCACCTGCTCCTGCCTCACTGTCAACTTTCAAACTTGTCTTCTTCTCTTCGTTAACCATGTTAGGCTGCTACGATATGACTCGTTAATGGCATTTTAATAATTAATAATGGGATTATTTTTATAGCATGAATTGAATTATTTTGCAGTTTGTCAATTACATGTAAATGGATTGATCTCCTAACTTTTTCAAGGATGTGAGAAGTCACATGTAACAATTATTTTAACTGAAAAATGAACATTAACAATTCAATGTGATTTTTATATTCGGGCTTTTGAATTAAATGGTTCGATTTCGGGTTATGATTTTCAAGTAATTTTGATTTTTGGTCTAGTTTTTTTTTTTTTTTTTTTTGAAAAGAATTTTTGGTCTAGTTTGATACACAAAATAAGTCTATTTCTACTTCAAAATTGAAAACTAAGTTCATCTTTTATTTTTTTTGAAAAGACTAAGTTTTTTTTTTTTTTTTTTTTTTTTTTTTTTTAAGTCTATTTTCTACTTTCAAAAATTGAAAAACTAAGTTCATCTTTTTATTTTTTTTGAAAAAGACTTAAGTTTTTTTTTTTTTTTTTTTTTTTTTATTGAAATTTTTTTTTTTTTTTTTTTTTTTTTTTTGAAAAGACTAAGTTCATTTAGTTTGATTTTATTCAATTTGAATAATTTGATTTGGTTTAATTTAGAAAGAATGATTCAATTTTCAGATTAATCAATTTGATTCTATTCAAATTCTAACGCTTTATTTAGACGAAGGAAGGATCATTAAATTAAAGTACCGTAAAGGAAAATATGATAAATGACTTTTTGTATTTATAAATAAAGATTTAATAACATTATCATATTTTGGTAATGTTATTAAATACAATGATTACAAAAATACTACTGTTATCTAAGATTTACAAATATAGCTCTGGATAATTTTGAAAATCTTAAATGAGTCGGATGACTTTCAAAAATTATCATCTTATTCAAACTCTCTTTCCAAACGACTAAATAATCTCTATTTAGCTTACTTTTTTCTCCAAACCCACCAAATAACCTTCATTCAAATAATCTGGATCACATATTCCACCATTACATTTGACAAAATTATTTGAATGCTCACACCACGGCATATAGTGGTAAGTGCATACATATACAATGTGGCAATAGTTCAAAATTCGAATTTCCCTTCTAGCACTCAAAAAAAATATATATATATATATATTTGAAAGCTGTTAAATAATGGGTAGCTAATATTATGTAATATAATATTATTTCAGTTAACTTGATGTTTAATAAAAAAATATTTATAGATTGTTATAGAAAAAAAAATCTAAAAATTACTAAATTGCAATACTAAAAAGTCAACTGAAATTTAAATTTCTATTATTTCTAAAAAATATTAATGTCTTTTTTATTATTATTATTTCAATCTGTTGAGAATTTCATATCGATTAAATACCAAAATTATAAAAATATATTAAAATTACAAAAGATATATAAGGGTAACAAGCTAATTAATTAATTGGTTTATATAAACTTTTAGCAGTGGTGGCTTAAGCCCAAACAAGCCCGGCCCAATTTTTAGTTTATAGTCATAAAATGGGTACTTGCTCTTGGTTGTGTTTGTTGTGGTCGTGGTTGCTACCATAACGGCAGGGGCTGAGCACGAGTGGGCCCAAGGGCGATGGTCCTCCAAGTCTCCAACAAAAGTGAATTGCATGTAGCATCAAACTCTTTTTGTCGGTTGAATATTAGAGAAAAACGATTTAAATATGAATTTATTTACAGGTTATAAATGTATTTACCATTAAATTATGTATTGATGTATAGTATCAAACTCTTTAATATGCCAGGAAAGAGTGATCGAGAAGATTAAAGAAAATTTAAAAGAAGATTATAAGGTGAAAAAAAAAAAAAACTAAGAAAATTTAAAAGGAGATCATAGATGATAAAAAAAAAAAAAAAAAAACAATTAAAAGGAGAATCAATAATGCACATTGAAAAAAAAAAAAAAAAAAAAGCTAAGGAGAAGAAGAGAAAGAGCTCGGAGAACTGAAAAAAGTGAGAGAGAAACGAAGAATAAAGATTGAGGAATGTTTTTGGAAAAAAATTTTAAGGATTCACGCTTTTACCCGCATTTGAGGCTCTCACACAACTCTTTCACAGAGTGTTAAAGGGTATAGTAGATACAAAAAATGTAATTTAAAGTGTGCATAATTTGAAAAGTTTAAGGTAATAAATGGTTAAAATAAGAAAGTTAAGGGGTGAATATGCATTTAGCCATTAATTTATATATTAGGTTGAGTTCAATTATGAATTTTATCGGTCTTCTTAAAAAAAAAAAAAAAAAGAATAACAGCCAATTCGTCAGATTTGGCATTTTAGGCTAATTTAACTATTGAATTTATTTAAAATGAGTAAAAAAATATCAGATTTTACTTTTTAGGCCAATTCAACCTCTTAATTTATTTTAAGATTTTTACAAATTAATAAATTTATTTAATTTAATAAGATTAATTTTATCTCTTACTACTGCTCAAGAACGTGCGATGCACGTTGCTACTCGTTGAACATACCCGTTAGAATAATTATTTAAAATTTATTTTTATATATATTTTTATTAATATTTACAAAGACAAAATAAAAATTTAATATTTTTATTCATAATTATTACATATATAAAAATATATGCAAATCACTATCATACATAGTCATAATTATTTGATGAAAAATTTTAATAATTTTTTAGAATAGATTTTTTTGACAAAATAGAATAGTTACAAAGTTGAAAATAAATTAACATTTGATCCAAAATCTCACGATATGTAAAAATAAGTGCATATATAATTTATTGGTAATCAAATTCTTTTTTTTTATAGTATACCAAAATAAAAAATAAAATCAAAAGTTAAAATTAGTACCTCGGCCATTAATAATAATAAAGTGAGAAGTTTTCGATATAGCAATTGCATATAAACTCTTGATAGTAGAAAGTTTTTAATGAATGATTGATAATAAAAGAAAAAAAAATCATTGATAGTAGTCAAAGAAAATATAGTTATTTGATAGATAAAATTTTCGATTGAGTTATAATTTAAATATTTATTTTTGATTATTATAATAATAGATGTAATATTAAAATCAAAGTATAATAATTTTTTAAACTAAAAATATACAATAATTTAAAAAAAGAAGAAGCGTTAATTGTTAAAAAAATTACAATCATGGTTTAAATAAATTTTTTTAAAAAAATTAATAAATTTATACGAATTGAAAATTAATCAAGAAATTTACTTAGCAGGAATAAAATAGTTAATACCTTCTTTTTTAACAAACAAAAGGAAATATGAGGAAAAGAAAATAATTGTAATTTATAAGTTATACATTTAATTATTTTTGAATTTTCAATATAAAATAATTAAGTCATTTTATAATAAAACTATAAATATAATTTATTTAATATTGGATTCTATCAAAACTTCTACAATAGAATTTTCATTTCTAATTAAGATTGGATAGAATTTTTCGGTTACAATTTCTACTATATATTTGATTCAATGTTAACAAAACATATATATAGAGGAAATTAAGATTATAATTACCATAAAAATAATATATGATTGCAAACTTAATAATTTCAAATTAGCAAAGTTTGATGTAATAATTCTTGATAGTCAAAAGCAATAAATTCGTGATAGTCAAAAATAACAAATTATTAATAGTCAAAACTCAAAAGCAATTAAAACCACAAATTATTAATAGTCAAAACTCAAAAGCAATTAAAACCAAATGTATATATAATGGTATGATAGGATAGAATCCTAATTAGAATAGTATTAAAAGCCAAATTACTAATTAGAGTGAGATTAAGTTTATAATATTAATATAATAAAAATAATAAATTGATATCATAATTAGAATAGAATTAAAGTCAAATTCCAAATCAGAATGAGATTAAATTTATAATATTAATAAAAAATAGCTACCAATAAGGGATTAATAAATCTTATATCTTATATTAATGTACTTAAATTATAAGATATTCAATCATAGTATTTTTATATGGATAGAAATCCTAAAAGTTTCATAATTATAATAAGAATAAATTATTTTTAATGATATTTAATTAATCAACTAATAAAATAGTAATAAAATTAAGAGTTTTCTAATTATAATAAGAATAAATTATTCTTTAATCAACTAATAAAATTAAAAATCTACATGAGCGTTTTAGGAACCCAATGTTCCTCTCATTCGCACTTATATATATATATATATAATTTGAAAACGCTATACATGCAAAAAAATTATGATTTATTATATTATAATTGAAATATTGAAATTTCCATGGCTATCTTACTTCCATTAAGATACTTGAAACTAAAAAAATAAAAAATAAAAACTAAAAAAATAAAAAATAAAAGATATTATCTTAACAAATATTAATCTTACAATCTAAATAAAATTCAAACTTTTATTAATATAATATAAAATTAAAGGGGAGGAAAAAAAAGAGAAAAGAAAGTGTAAGGATACAAAGGATGCAGCGAAGAAGAGATATGCAGCCAAAAATAGGCTGAATTTTGGTTATAACTTTCGAAACGGAAAATATTCCGTTGCTAACCCGTTTGCGGCACCCAGGGAAGAAAAAATCAATTTATGTTATAAATTTAGAAACGGAAAACAATCAGGTTGCTAACACGTTGTAGAACCCTTTGTTAATTCTTAGCAACGGAAAAATGATGAAAAAAGATTTATTAATTAATAAAAATAATATAAGTAAGGAAACTAATATAATCAATGTAATTGAAAATTATTATATAAAATTTTTCTAATTAGAGGGTCTATTTCTTTAAGATATTCGTGATAACGCTATCCAGGAGGGAAAACTTGTAAGCTTATAATTATTCATGATTACTGAAACAATTACAGTTAATCTACAAATCTACAAATCTAAATTATAAGAACTATAACTAAAAATTATTCTATTAATTTGTAAATAGAAAGAGAGTTAATATTATATTTACTGCAAGAAGAACACATAATTGCAAACTCAATAATTTCAAATTAGTAAAAGCTTGATATAATAATTATTAATAGTCAAAAGCAACAAATTTATTATAGTCAAAAGCGACAAATTTTTTATAACCAAAACCAATTAAAAATAAACATATGTATAGTAGTATGATAGGACATATACCTAATTAGAATGGATTAAATTTATAATATTAATATAATAAAAATAATAAATTGATACCATAATTAGAATATGATTAGTAATAATATTTTTCTCAATTTATAAACTTGGCAGGGGCATTTTAGAAATCCAATGTTCTCCCCTCATTTTTCTTTTATGACGTGCATTATACACGTTGACTTTACTCATTATATACTCATTTAATTTTGTTATTTATATAATATTAAAATATAAATCTTATTTAGACTAAAATAAATACAATGATTAATTAATACTGCATTTTATATATATAATGAATTTTTTTAACATGTCTTGTATTGCAACATCTAATTGAAAAGAAAATGATATTTCTATTTCTCCCTTTAATAAAAAAAATATAATTTTATTGTTAATTAATTATATAAAATCACTACAAAATGCATTTACCATACTACAAAATTGTAATACTCCGAATTTTTATTTTCGAAACTTTTGAATTTTTATTAAATCAAAAATCGTAAATTTTGGCCGCGTGGGCTGCAAATGTAACACAGTCTCAATTTGAACCCAAATTTTCGAATTGGGCCTAAACCCAAAATAGTTCATTCGGAAATTTTCGATTTGAGAACAGTTAAAATTTTCAAGAAATAATATGAAACACCAGCGATTAATCTATTATAAATATATATAAGGAAATAATAATGAAACACCAGCGGATTAATCTATTATTATAAATATATATAAATTAATCATTCTAAATTTAAAATCATTACTATTAATATTTTTTTTATTATTAGGTAAATGGAGGAAATGTTACAGAATCTAATAAAAATAATTAAAACAAATCGAACCGGACCCAAGAATTAAATTGATTTTTCGAAAACTACATGAATAATCCGAAAACCAAGCAAAAAACCTGCAAACTGAGCAAGAATCGAGCCAAATAATTGAATTAGACCGAACCGGTTCGAATCGAACCGGAATGGTCTAGAAGCGTTGGCCTTCTTTCTTTTCTTTCTTTTTCTTTTCCTTTCTTTTCCTTCTTTCCTTCTTCTTCCTTCTCCAGTCGCGCGATCCCTCCCTCCTCCCTCTCCTTCCGTCTCCGGCCACCAGACTGACGATGGTGGGTGGCGATCGATTCCTCTCATGCCACCGGTCACGTTGCCATCCTCTTTCATGTCGATCAGGCCCTCAGCAGCGACGATGCTAGCTCTTCCCTTGCGACGCGACTGCCTCCTCTGCACCAACGCGATTCTCCGGTGAGGCTCGACGGTAACGGTGATCTTCTATGGCTTAGCTCGATAGGTAATGAATCTTCAACAGTTTTATTAATGGTTTGATCACCGGATGGAGATTTGAGAAGAAATTTAGATATAGTTTTCAATTTGCGTTGATTTAGGATTTTTGACAAATTGGGTGTTGAACGGTGAAACTAATTTGAGATTTGGGTTCCTTATGTAAAATCGAGTCAGATGGTGTGAAAGGCACTTGGTTCTAGGCATCCGCGACTTTCCGACCACCGTGCACGGCGGCGACGGCGGCGGACCGGCGAGACTCCGGCGAGGACTTCAAGAGGCAGAATGGTCTCCTCTTCGCGCCGATCACAAAAATCAAATCCAATTTTTGATCGGTACATTGTAAGGCCTAGTTGATTGTTTTCGGTATAAATTTCGAAACTTGAATTAATTAATTAATTGAATATAAGATTAATTGAATTAGTAAAAAATTGGAAATTTATGAACATCGATTATAAGGATAATAAAGATTTTCATCGAAAATAAAAATGCTTAAATTCGAATTAATACGTAAATATCGTTAATTATAATTAATTATATTATAAAAGGGAATTAATAATTATAGTACATCGGTTGTATAAGAATCAGTCTAGTTAATTATGCTACTCTCATTTTAATATTGCTAATATTATTAATATCATCATTATTATGGAACGTTAATTTACTAGCGACACTTATCTGAAAGATATAAACAAGAAATAAATAAATAAGAGTAACGAATTTATATATAGTTTAATAAATAAAATACCGACTAAAATTATTGTTTAAATAGAATTAAAATACCGACTAAAATTATTAATCGTTATGAATATTGTATGAACAATCAATCGTATTATCATTATTAATATTATTACTTTTATTAGTAATATTAATATTTTGATTAGTATTATCATAAAATATTACTTAACAAATAACTTAACAAATACCTAAACGTTTTATCTAAAGGCGATAAATTAGAATAAATAAATAAGGAAACCCAATATATATCTATAAATACATATATAGTTTAAATTAAGAAGTGAATTAAATGACCGGTAACCAAAATTTATAAATGAATGTAAATTGCATTTCCCAAATTAGGATTCTCATTTAGAATTTTCTTATTATATAGATATTTATAAAGTGTCGGCATGTGAAGACAAAGGCTGTAAGCGCACAATAAGGCAGTCCTTTTAAGGATAACAAAAACTGTGAGTAGTGTTAGATAATTCGCATTATCTGCCTGCATTCATGCATTCACGGCTAAATGTTATCATGCATTATAGCCATATTTTGATGCATTAATTGCTGATATTAAATATTGTTTGATTACTTGTGATGTGATATTGCTGTGCCTTGTTTGTGTGGAATTGGGATGAAGTGGGTCACCATGGGTTTGTGAGACCGGGTTTTTGTGAGACCGTTACCGTTATAATGGATCTATTAGATTAGCCGGAATAAATGGGAATCGGCGCCCCCATGTGCACCTGCGTTATCTGTTACCATTACCGTTAACCGCAGAAGTAAGCCTCTTTGGGCACACCCTGATGATCTAAGGATTTGATCGTTGCCCGCAGGTGGCCTCCTGTTATGTGAGCCTAGAATGATCTAAGATTTTGAAGGGGACGACCGGGAATGTTGCCTGTCGGATATAAAAAAAAAAGAGAGAAGAAAAGGAGAATGGAAAAATATTGAAGAGGACCGGTTCTGGTGAGATTTTACCGGTCACAGAATGGGGGATTTGGTCCCTTGTACATGATGATAAGCATGGGAGGACTGGGAGGAAGGCTAATAGGTTTAGGTGACTCCACTGACTAATTTCCACATGATGTGATTATATGAAGATGATAATAATTGTGATTGCTGTTGTATTGTCATTTGTGTGACCAACTGCATGTTCATAAAATTAATCGGTGACCAGGTAAAAAAATATTTTTGGCATCTGTGTGATTGTGTGGAGTGAGAGGGTTATCTAACACTACTCATTAAGTTTGGCACTCACCGCTACCTACCTATTTTTTTCAGGTAATAGAAAAAAGAAGAGTCCTATGGAATTGAAACAATAATTATCAAGAGCTGTTAGTGAATGAAATAATGAAGCAAATGTAAAGGTAGAGTTCCGCAATTGTAGTCCAGTTGGGTTGTAAATGAATAATAAAAGTCCATCATACCTATTTTTTTTCAGGTTAATAGAAAAAAGAAGACATATTATAGGTCCAATTATGGTGAAATTGAAATAACAAAATAATTATCAAGAGACTATGTTACCGTTGATATGAGATAATAATAGAAGACAAATAGTAAGGTTAGAGTTCCGCTAATTCTAGTCCAGTAGAGAGTATGTAAATATACAAGAGCTGTTAGTGAATGAAATAATGAAGCAAATGTAAAGGTAGAGTTCCGCAATTGTAGTCCAGTTGGGTTGTAAATGAATAATAAAAGTCCATATTAAATATATGAACTGTACTAGTCATACAGTAAATTATTGGGCATGTATCCACAATTATGAATAAGAAATGAGGTTTGCACAATTTAGGCTTACTACGGGCTTCGGGGGCTTAAGCCCACTCAGGTCCTGGCGCCGGTCCGGTCCATGGAAATGGGTCGTGACAAAAATATTCTATAATTTGGCAATGTTAATAAATTAATATTTATTCTGCATAGCCGCAGTATAAGATATGATTTTGATCTTCACATCAATTATTTTCGTCGGATGAAGTTAAGCTGAAATTTTATCAATAACATGTAATATTTTGGATTATGTCCTTGTACAAAATCAAAAAATAAATTGCTTCATATGGGAATCAATATGTAAAGTTATAGACAATAATATTGGTAATAAATTGTACTTTCTCAAGTTTAAACAAGATACAAATGAGATTAAATTCAAAAATTACAAAGTCATATATAAAAAATATTTGAAAAAATATTAAAATTTGAAAGGTCTGATTATCTTTATATCTATTTAAAAATATTTTAAAAAAATATATCCAATTAAATCATAGAAAAATTAAATCAAATTTCCATAAATTTCAAAAAGAAAAGAATAAAATATTGAATAAAAAAAAAGCTTTTGAATTTTCTCTTTATTTCATTTTTAATATGGAAAAGCTAAAAATAAAAATGATAGTAAATTCAAACATTTATAGCCTATTTTTTCAAAAAGATTTCATTAGACTAAAAAGGAAAAACGCTCTTTTTTTTTATGTTAGTCAAATACTATAATTTCATACTTCCGTTGCTTCTCTTAAATTTAAAAACTTTTAAAATACAATAATATGTAAATGATTCAAATAAGTATATACCATCATCTCAAAAAAAAAAAAAAAAAACAAAGAGAAAAAAAAAAAAAAAAAAAATCAAAGAGAAATAATATATTTAAAATTTTATTTTCAGTGAAATTAATTAACAGAGTCTAATAATAAAGTGTTTAATCATATTTTAAAAAATTCAGAATATAATAAATTAAAAGAATTTAAGTTCTATTTTTAATAGTTGAATTAAGGTTTTTTTATTTACTCCTAAAAAATAATATAACATGAGAACATATGATTATTGGATAATAATGTTATAAGATGAAATAGAGAATATATATATACATGTATATATTTTCTCGAATTAAAATATATAAAAAATCTAACTACATGGAATTCAAAAGGATAAATGAAATATTTTTTTTTTGATTAAAAGAGATAAAAAATATAACTAAAAAGGATATTTAAAAAGATAAATAGACTTATTTTCTTTGATTAAAATGCATAAAAAATTAATTAAAACGATAGATTAGGAAGTCCAAATTAAACTAAAGCTACTTTGGAAAATCCCTTAATTTTCTCCAGTATTCCCACATTTACGTAGATTATAGATTATAAGTCTATTTTATTATCTATTAAGTTAAAGAGAGCAAAATACTTATGATAAATACATGAAATATGTAATATATATTTAAATCTAACATTTAATTTAAATCGTAAGTAAATAAAGGAATTTTTAATTTTCATGTATAGCCGCCTTATTATATAACATTAAAATAATTAAAAATAAATATACTTATTAATAGAAAATTAACATTAATTATCTATTAAGCATGATATTTAAAATAAAATTTAATTAGTCATTAATAATATTATTTTAGAACAGTTTAAATTTCTTTAAGGGTATTATCGTAATGTTAATTATTATTAAGCGTAATATTCAAAATAAAATTTAATTGATCATTAATAAAGTTATTTTAGAATATTTAAAATTTCACTAAAGACATTATAAGTAATCACATGATTCTCCCTCATCTTCACGTTTATATATAGTATATATAGATTATAGATTGTTTTGCACTAAAAACACTCATTTTAAATTTTTCTAACACTTTGAATAAAAAATTAAAATCCTTACAAGCATCATTTATATCAATAACCCTGTGCAATTTTTAAATATCAAAATGAATACATATTTTATAATTTGAAAATCATCGAGATATGATATACTTCATACATAATTTATTCACTTTCATTTAGTTTATATTTAATTATTTTTTTAATACATTACAGAGTGTAATCCAACTATAAATTTAAATGCATGTAAATCAGTAAAGAATCAACGGTTAAAAGTGATTCAAAATATTAAATATGATATTATTAATTATTTCAAATAAATTTAGGGATTAAATTAACTCAACATGTAAAATTTTATATTTTTAATCATTTAAAATAATTTCAACAAGTAAATTGATAAAAAATAAAAACAAACTTGACCTTTCAATAAATTGATCAAAAAGATTAAACATGCTCTTTTCAATCCCGCTAACAGATTCAGGGATTAAATTGACCTTTATGCAAAAAAAAATTTAGTATAAACATCATAATTATTCACTTTCCTTGGGCTAAAAACGGCAGAGAATTGGGAATCCTTCGTCTTTTTCCTTCGGCAACAAAGAGCATAGAGAGCGACGCCGTTTTCAGTTAAAACCCAAACCCTTGCCAATCCATTACAGTCGACATCATCGTCCACACTTCCCATTCCGATAAAGACCTCCGGCGAGGCCGATTCATTGAAAAAGAAGAAAAACTAAAGAAACTTCTTGTCGCTGTTTTCATATCTTCCAGTCATTGAAGTTAGCTTTTACGGCGACGACAGGATCGTTAAAATCTTTAAGCCTCCTCAAACGCCGAGCCACTGAAGCTTTCGCTTGGTTTGCGTCTTCTTGGAAAGTAAAGTTTCTGAAAAATATTTCTACGCAGGTTAGCCCACTCATCTTCCGTTTTTTTTTTTTTTTTTTTTGTTTTTTTTTTTTTTTTTTGTTCACGGACTGATGATGGGAACAACCGAAATTCAAAATTTTAAATGTTTTTGTTTAATTTATAGCCATTTTCGTTTTTTTTTTTTTTTTTTGTTCACGACTGATGATGGGAACAACCGAAATTCAAATAAATGTTTTTGTTTAATTTAATGCCATTTCTGGTTTGAGGTCATGTTAATGAATTTAAGCTAAAGACCATGATACTATTTGGGTTTAATGTTGGGGAAGGTAATGTTGTTGAGATTTCTTGTTGGATTTTAATCAAACTCAAACTAATTTGATAAATCAGGTTTTCCATGAAGTTTATTTTAAATTAGGTTAAAATGCTGTCATTCTGCAAATCAGATTGGGTCCATTTGGATGGATGGTTATTTGAAAATGTGGAGTTAGATTTGATTTTAAGTGTAAAATCATGAAAAATAGGCAATTAAGCGTGGTGCCAAATTCCAAATAACTAATCATTTAAAATGAGTAGACACTAGTTATCTAGATGAACCCTTAAAGTTAATAAAGCAGCTAGATTATACATGTCTTTCTTATTTGTTGATTTTAGTTGATTTCTCTAAACTTGCATTGTTTTCCATGAAATTTAAGTTAAAAAATTAGGTTCATTTCTTATTTGTAACTAGGGTTGAAAAACTCTCTGATGAATCATTATTGTACTTCGTTGTATATTTATTTGATCACTAAATTTAGGTAGTCACTAAAGATGTAAGCTTGAGTTTATAACCACTTACATGCACACACATAAATATATAATCTGCAGATATTAAGCCGGCTATTCCAAATTAAGATATTCTCAAAAAGAAAAGGGAATTCTAAATCCGAATAGCTAAGAACCATCAGTCTCATAAATGCTTGTCCATCAAGGTTGATTGAATTTGATAACCCTGGTTTCAGGGCTTATCACTCTCTCTCATAACGAATGGCGAAGGACATGATACCACGCCCTTGGTTTCTCGATTTGGTACCTCTCTTGGTGGTTCTTCTAATAGCTGCTCATGTCCTTGCTTTGGTAATCCCAAAATACTTATATTGTTTAATCTCAATTATATTTACCCAAGTTTTAAAGTAGATCTTTGACATTTGTTCTACATTTGTGTTAGGTTTATTGGATTTACAGGTTAGCTACTGATAGACAGCCACAAAGAAGAAAGGCACACTGAGGATAAGGTCTTATAAGTGCCTCTCTCTCTCTCTCTCTCTCTCTCTCTCTCTCTCTCTCGTTTAATTTGTGGCTGTTCCCCTGAATAATTTTTAGTTCTTTCATTTCCGGCAATGGTATTATCGCATTCTAAATGCTTTATCAATATACAAAGAATGTAGTCTCCCTTGGGGATGGAAGTTTGACAAGAATTTGGCAACTATGTGCTTGTTTGGATTTTGTACTTCAAAGAGTTCTCTAGATTTCTTTTTCTGTTTTATGTGTTACACCTTTTACCACAGAGTTCTAAATCTCTATTAGGATTTATAAGGAATTCAGTAATGCATTAATACCTAGGCGTTGTTTGAGTTTTTATAGTCAATGTATGTTTCTTGTGAGTTACCAGCCTGTTGATTTATGAATATTGTGTTTTCTGGTATGATTTTGCTTGTTGTACTTAACAATTATGTTTGAGATCAATATTTTAAAATCTTTAGTTGATAGCAAAATTATGTGAAAGAATATAATATGCTTATGAAAAGGATAAAATGATGAAATTATTACCTGAACTTCTAACTTAATTATTAAATGGTGGAATTAATATGATAATCATATAAAATAATTATGAACAAGATATTGTTTGTAAAAGCAAAAAAAATTATATTGTGTAATAATAACATAAAAACAACTACTTGATAAAAAGACATCGTCTGAACTTATAATCAATTATCTGATCTAGAAAAATAGATTAAACTAATAATATAATTATCACAATTAAATTACTAACATTATGTTAAATCAGATATTATATTATCTGTAATAATATTATAGTAACTATCTGTTTGTATAGGTACACAATTTATTTTGCATAGAATTATCAGTTAATGACGTTAAGTTTGTATCATTTCCATTTTGCGTCGGATTATTTGTTTCTTGAAATTCTGCAATAAAAGAAAAGTTTGCTGAATAAATATTTGATGGAATTATTAATAACTTTATTTTTAACATTGTTAGTTGTTTTGTTACTATTAGCTTCATGGTTAAGCAAACCCTGGCATATGTCAGTTGATATACTTTATTATATGGCTTTATTAAAATTATTAATGGATTTTTATTGTTTTCCTAAGTATTGTTTGGATTTTGGCCACATGTAATTTTCAACTTCTTTTTTCTTCCTCGGGTTGCAAATAACTGGAATAATCTTTTTGTTGGATTTGCTTTGTTTTACAAGAGAATATAAACTTCCTTGTTAAAGTAGCTCACTTGCTCTCTCTCTCTCTCTCTCTCTCTCTCTCTCTCTCTCTTTTGTTCTCTACGTAATATTTCTGTTACTTCCTTTCTTCTATAATAATAACAAATCATGCTCACACGTATAATGTAATATTTACAGTCTTTGTATGTTAATAATTCATGTTAACCATAAGATTCATATTATGGTTACAAACTAACAACCATGATTGTAGTAATGGTATATAATGTTCTATTGGCTGAGAATGAAAATTTGAACTCTTGCTTTTCAGTTACAGTTATTTTTTCTATTAGTAGCAACAGCCTCGTTTTGCAATTTTGAACTTGTAGGATCGTTGCAATGCTTGAAAATGATATGGAAATATGATGCTGTCATTTAGAATATGATAACCTTTCAGTGTTTTACTCAGAAGTTTAATATGAGACAAAGTCATTAAGAGGTTGAGCTCTGATGTACTGTAATTCCATTGCCTTATACAATCCACAGGAAGATATAGAACAGCTTCTAGATATGCTAAAACATGTGTTGAAACCACTAGGTGGCTCAATCATTCTGTTGTCTTAGTTGTACTAATTATGTCATTACTTTGCTTTTAAAACGGAATCCTTTGCACCTTTTCATGGTAGACTCGCATTTGGTGCTTCAATCAGGAATTAGTCCTTTTAAGGTATTGGTGGGAGCGAATATATTATTTGTGCACTACAAACATATCTACAGTGCTTCTGACAAGTTATTTTTGCCGAAGCTAATGAAGCCTATATTGTGTCAATTTTACTCGTCAAGACAGCTGTGCTGGCATATCATTGGATGAGGTGGACCAATTTAATGTTCTCTAACATGAGTTTTAGATTTCAGATTTTCATTTTTATATTCGGTTAATTGGCAAATTAGATAAGTATTTAGGAGTTCTGATAATCCTATAGCAATAATTGGCCTGGACCTATTACTATAATCCTTCTCCCAAAGTCAGTCTTATTAAGTTGGATGAGACAAACTACCTTGCTTGGTCAGTATCTTGCTTGCTGTTTCTCCATGGGTGGAGTGTGGAAACATGCATGATGACATGGAATACATTACTGATATCGTTTCAAAGCTGTAGGTAACATTGACCCCTTCTTTTTCTGTCTTTCTCTCTTGCTAGAAAAAAATTCCTCAACTCACTTCCTATGCCTCCATTGGAAAACACAGCTGGGGAAATCTAATAATAGTTCATCTTCTGCACCAGCAATAATTCAATCCTCACCCTGAATCTTGTACGTTCTAAGTTCTGTTAAGTTTTAGTTTCCACTTATCTCTCTCTGCTCAGATGTTTATCTATGGAGCAACGTTCAGGTTATTATCATCATGAATTTCTGAGCAATGTGCGTGCATCAAGCTCTCGTAATAGCCTCTTTATGCATGTAATCTGCAGAAAGCGTATAGAGGGAGAACAAGAAATGGAGAAAGGAAGAAGATAGAGAATTGAGGCGTGAGGAAGTGTTTTTTCAATACACAATAAAACAAAATAGCTCGTTGGAGTTATTTTAGGGATTCACTTGCTGAATTGTGTTTGTACATGTACTTTTGTTGGGAATGCCATTAGGCTTTTCATGAAAAGTATAATGGTCTGGGTTGTTCCGATTTACCTGAGGGGTTTGAATTAGCCCCCCTCCCAATCATAGTTAGCCAGAGATTAAAGAAAATATGAGAAATTTGGTGAAGGAATTGAAAGTGAGTGTTTTATTATTATAGATATCATGGTAAATGGTCCTTGTTTTTCTCTGGCTGTTAAGCACTCGTATTACTTTAGGGTTTAGGGTTAAGGGTTAGAATTCCCGCAATCCCGTGCATACCCTCAAGATTTACATAAGCCAATGGTAAGTTTACAAAATTCAACGTGAGAGTTACTATATTTTAGAAGTTAAGTAGTTGTTGCTTACCTTTAAGTCGTAAGACAAAATTTGAATAACTACATAGTATAATGAAAGATTGAAAATTCAAAAGACAAGTACTATAATCTAGTGCTATATTCTTGATGCCTAGCTAAATCTTTCCACAATTTCCCCTTTCTTCTATGGCAAAGAAAGGATAGTCTATAAATAATATAACATGCGACCAAATTTCAAAGGATTCCTAGAATGGGACAAAGGATATATATATATATATATATATAGGATTCCTAAGAATGGGACAAAAGGATATATATATATATTATATTATTGTAATCAGTCACTATTATATATATATATATATATATATATAAATCAGTCACTATTCTATACAAGTTTCTTTGTATATTTTAATAACAAAGTATGATGGACTAATTAGATTTTACTTATATTTGTCACTAAACTCGCTCTTTTAGTCCAAGTCAAGTAATTTTTTATACTTACGCGAGTTATTTAGAACTATGTCTGTTTTTACTATTCATGGTAAGTCTGCTTAATCATCACTCGCATTGGATTGGAGAGAAGAGTTAGCCTAGAAGAAATTTGCATTGCGGATGATTGAATTCATAACTTAAGGCATGATGATTAATTTTGCAAGAATTAATTAATTAGCAGTTAAGTTATTAAATAAAATAAAAAGAAGTCTTGCATTGAATAAAATATAGAGTGCACATCGTGTAAGATTACAGGTTAAGATTTCCTTAAACAAAAAAAAAAATATAAAGAAATGATGAGCTCAAAATTCTCACAATTGTTCTTTTTATCTCATCTCTAAGGGGAAAATAATAAAAATAAAACCTTTTGCACAAGAAGAAAAAGTACATTGAAGTAAGAGAAGCATATGGTTTTAATAGCATATAAATATGCATCTTGACAATATTATTATGAAATTGATAGAATAAATTCTTTGAGCAGCTTTTTTCTCATCTTTCAACCTAACATGTAAAAGATGAAAGGACTGCATGATATATTTGGCATTCTCAAACACCTTTTCTTTTTTTCATTTCTGTCTGTTGGGACGTAAAAAAGGCAAAATAACATTTTCTTTTATGCTCGTCAAATTAATGATAATTCTTATAATCTAAAAGTTTCGGACCCGAAGCTTTCTCACATGCTCATCAACTGCCATTTTTAATGAGCTTGTATGACACACATTGACATATCATATAAAACAACAAATTTACAGGAAATGTTAAATAATTACACATTGGGATATTTTGAGAAGCATCAAACAAGAATGGTTGTGAGTGTAGATTTCACATTTTAAATTATTTAGGTCTAATGATAAAGCATGAACTTTACCAGCTATTTGTCAGGTGAGTTGAGATTCAACCCTATATAATAATAATAATATATAGATATATCACCCATGAATTCATGTGGAAAAAGGTAACAAATCCCCAATTAGTTTAGTGGAAGAAGCATTTTGAATATTTATTTATTAATTACAAAAGAAAAGAAACTAATAGCATGTCTTGTTGTAGACCTAGTCTTCTCAGCTTACACTAAACAAAACAGAAAAAGCTTTAAACAAAGTGTTAATGGTGTTGTCTTATCATAATTTATATGCTTTCCTTATAAGATTGAATATATATTTCAATGAATGGTTGTAAGAAAGGTCTTTGAGATCAAGAATTCTAAGACTTGCCATTTTAAGAAATGATTCGCATGCTTGTTTCTCATTTCTTAAAACACTACCCATGTGAAGGAAAACCCTATTTTAATTATGTTAATCTTGGAACTAATTATATTACAAGGGTATATGTAATATAATAAGGAATCAAGTGGGTCTCCCACCCTAGAACTCACCCTTAAATAGCACTCACCCATATAGCTAACAGCATCAAGTTAACATTTCCAAGCCTTCTATAGCTACTTTTGTTGTGCCTAATTCAAGAAATTAAGCAAGCTATGTCAAAAACCCTTAGCAAAAAACCCTTTTTGTTAACATTATTAGCTCTTTTTTTTCTTCTTCTAAACCTAGAAATGGATTTATTGGTAAGGGCAAGGCCAGTACTAGTACAAGTCCATTCACCAACTATCCCTAAAGCCTATCTAATGAAAAACCCTAAACCTCCTTCTATAAACCGCTATAAGTTTACTGAGACAGAAGCGTTCAGGCCAACAAGTCCTGGCCATAGCCCTGGTGTGGGTCATGAAAAGCCACCTGGTGCCCCTTGAAAGTGACCCCCTGACAGTTACTCCTATAGGTTAATGTTGTGGTAGAAAATAAGATTCGATTGAAGGGTTTTGTTCTATTATTACTCCTATAGGTGTAGGTTTCAATTAGGGTTTTCAAGTATTAATTCCTGCTGGCTGTGTTACTTTTCTTTGTTCAATTGCATGCATGCTTGCTTGCTATCAATTTATTTATGTTATTTCAAATTTTATTTCAATTATTTTCAGTCTTATTCATCACTTTTTATTTATTACCCTCTCAGTCTTAAAATATAAGTCGTTTAAAGTTTTTACACAAAGATTAATGAAACAATTAACTCTCTTAGATTATAATAAAACCAAAGGTAATTTGACTAAATTTTCTTTTATCTCAAAACCAATAGTTAATTATGAAAGTATTTATTATATCCAGTATAAATAAGGGTAAAATTGAAAAAACTTCATTTATTACTTATTAAAATACTCAAAATGACTTATATTTTGGGACATAGGAAGTATTAGTCTCCCTTTTTTTTGTGTAAATATAATTAATACATTTGTTGAGTGCATAAAAAGAGCTTTATTTACCAACAAGGTGTTGGTTGGGATGGTAAGCGATCTCAATTCTCATAAAAGTAAGAATACAAGTTTGATCTTCGAGAATCGCACATCGCTGGAAAGGCAAAAAAAAACCTTTATCTTATTGGATTAAACCTCGTAGTTATATAAATAAAAAAGTTTATTTATCCATTGGTTCCTGGGCTACCAAGTTTAGGTTATATTAATTGATATTATTTTTCCATAAAGATAAAAATTTTGGTCTAAAATGAGTTCTTGGAGGATCTTGGCAGTCTTGCCTATCGTTATGATGTTGAGTGTTACTTCCATAATTAGCATTACCTTCTCCTTGAGGTATGCAAATGAAAATATTCTCTCTTTTTTTAAGTAAAATTTAGAATTTTTTTTTTTTTTTATAACATGATACTCCCTCCATTCTCTTTATATAGGAACAATTAATTTTTCACCAAGATTAAGAAAGTAGTTTAATCAACTTTTTTTGCCATTTTTTTCAAATTTACCCTAATATATCTTTTATTCATCCTCTAATATCAATGCATGTCTTAAATATGTTTTAATCTTTAATGAGATTTTAAATGTTTTATTGAAACGAAGGTAATACAAACAATTGCAAAAATGAAGTTTATACTCTAACCTGTGGAGAGAAATTTATTTTTTGTCCTTTATTTAGGAAGGCTGTGTGAAAATATGAATATATTTGTTCATTTAACCTTTCAACTGCCTTTAATTATTGAAAATATTTTTAAATATTGTGCAATTTTTTAAATATTCGATGAAGTTCGTAAGAATTCCTTTCAATATGGTCAACTTTTTTAAATATTCGATGAAGTTCGTAAGAATTCCTTTCAATATGGTCAACTTTGAAAATTTTGTAGCCTTTTCTATTCAAACTCCATTTTAATCGGTGCTCATATAGCTTATACGAGCACATTTTTTTATGGATGTAAAAGATCCGTTCTCCAAGATTTATTCACATTAAATGCTCATTTATACTTTTATCTGCCACTATCTTGAGAATATCTTATACTAAAAACTTCACAATGAACTAAAATAAGAGTTATATAGACTTTTCACATTGGCATAGTTTCCAAATTTATCAAATTAGGCAAAATTTCTTATATAAAAAAAATGTCCAAAATGAAAACTTTTCTATATAAAAGAACAGAGTGAGTACCAATTAAGCAATACAGGATGTCGATTATAGAAATAAATAAATAACGCTGTGATTTATATATATATTTTTTTGTAAAATTTATTGAACTATTATCGTACTTTACCTAACATGTGTTTTAGTCAAACACAAATTTTTGGAGGAAAATAAATAAAGGGCACATCAAGATATAATAGAATTGAGAATCAATACACGAGATAAGGTGATAAGGCCAATGGTAAAAGGCTTGAAATGGCCAATGTTGTCAACAACTATCTCACGCTCTCAAAATAGTCGTGATGTGGTCAGAAGACCAAAGGCTTCTTGTCCCTTTACTAAACGGTGACCGTCTCGTTGAAAAATTGCAAGGTATATATATATATATATAATATATAGTATATATATATAATATATATATATAATATATATATATATATATATAAATTTGAAATCGAAAACCATAGGACCTGCGCCGATTGCCGGAGATATTATTTATATTATAAAAACTATAAAATATAAATAATACTTTACCATTAGATATTTAAGATATTTAAGTGTGAAAAAATAATTTTCAACATTACCTCTTTCTAAGTCAATGCTTATCATTTGCTTACTGAAAACAAATCGATTCAATGGAAATATTATGACATGCCCATAAAATTATTGATCAATAGTTTTGTCTTCACAGCTTATGCAAACTCAATTCAAAGGGCCATTAATGTGAAAAAATAATTAAGTCAATTTAAGATATTTAAGATATTTAAGTGTGAAAAAATAATTTTCAACATTACCTCTGTAACACCCGCCACCCAGTCCCGAGAGACCCGACGGCGGATGCCACATTCGGTGCCGGAGACACCGTCTTAACTGAAGACACCGTCCTTAATTAACATATAAATCATAAACTAAAATTA